TGATTGGTCGGAAGTTGACAAATGTTGACCTTGTTAGGAAATCTACAGATCAGTAGTTGTATGCAATAGACGAAAGTGGACCACTTTACCTGCATAGTGTAAAATGCAGATCAGTTTCATGCGTTTTGATGTGTCAAGTCTGGATTAGAGTCAATTCTCATGCTGATGTAAAGGATTTGCAAAAAAATAAAAAATAAATAAAGTGATAGGATATTATTGATTCGTCGTGTCTTGGGAATGTTGGTAAAATTTCCGCATACTGTAATGTCCAAGTGGTTTTCCATTATTATTGTATCAAGTAAGCTTCTTAATAAGTTATTCTTTTTCTTTTGTTTTCATTGACGTCTTTCTCAATATTCTCTATAGTTGGTTTGTAAGGGTTAGTTTTGTTTTTACGAGTTGACCACGGATTGATATCAGTTACAATTCATGTATAATCCCCATCCAGGCATTAATGAAAACAAAACACGTAGATCAGCAAAGAGTCTCTTTTCGGCGAATTCATTTTCTTAGCTGTACAATCGCAAATATATATGACGGTTATTTTGTATATATGTGTACATTAAGTTTGTCAAACAAAAATACAATTGGTTATAGTTATTTTAACTAAACAGGTGAAGATTGGTAATTTGAGTTACGTAACACAAAATCAGTCAAGAAAATTAGGTGTTATTGAAATTAGGGTAGTAACAAAGGTGATGAGTTGTCACAAATAGTTGTTAAAAAGAATTTATGCAATAATATGAATAGTTTGATGAGTGAGTGTTACTCAGGATGCACATAGGAACAAAGTAGATAATACGAAATTACGTATTGTATTACGTAACTCCAATTACCAATCTTCACCTGTTTAGTTAAAATAACCATAACCAATTGTATTTTTGTTTGACAAACTTAATGTACACATACATACAAAATAACCGTCATATATATTTGCGATTGTACAGCTAAGAAAACGAATTCACCGCCAAAATGAGACTCTTCGCTGAACTACGTGTTTTGTTTTCATTGATATCAGTTAGACAACCATCGGAAACCAGGGAGCTGTTTCATTCTAGTTCGGGAATCATCGGTAGTACGCACCCACTGCCAGGGTTCGGACCCAGGACCTTCCGGTTACAAGGCCAGCAAGCTCGTATACCATTCAGCCACTGGAACCCGACTCCTCAATGACCAGCACATGAATTTTCACTTCTAACAATTCGTGATTTAGCGCAACCCCAACCGATGTCATCAGTGGGACATCAATCCTCAGACGTGACTGGTTGGACCTCACTGGTCACGACTTCTCACTAGAACTCCAGGAAACTCCATCCTGTAGCAAGTCACTAGCGCGAGCATCAGATTAATTTTGTAAGGGTTAGTTTTGTTTTTACGAGTTGATCACGGATTGATATCAGTTAGAGAACGGCGGAAAACCAGGATGTACTGGACAGCTGTTTCATCCTAGTTTGGGAATCGTCGGCAGTACGCACCCACTGGCTCGTTATTCTATTGTATTTCGTGTAATTTCATTTCCCATTTTCACAAAATTTGTCTTTTCCACTATTTACACACATTAATTGACAAGGAAGTTGGTTATGTGGCGACAGTGAAGAATAGACGACTCTGAAACAGCCAATCGGATTCTTCTAGGTGAAAAGTGGTACTTAATTTACAAAGAAATGTTTCTAACGATACACATATATACATAAATGAATCATATAGGGTGTATATTTCAAATATGCTGCAAAAACTGGTCCCAGATTCTCATAGAAGTGGTTATAGACATATCAAACCAATGTATTCTCTATTTCTCCAGCTGTAGCAGATACTGGTTGCATATACGCAACATATTACTAAGGGAGAGCTTTAATTTCTAGAAGAAAGTGTCGAAAAAGATAGCCAGTTATGTACAACTTATTAACTTACAGACTTCCTCATATAAAATGGTTGCATCTGAATGCATAACCATCAATAGCCCGGTAATACTTTTTTAGAGTCATTCTTCCTCCACATATGCATGTTTTATTCCTCCGTATCAACCAATTTTCCACAGAGAAGTCAAAAACCAAACATTTTCAACGTGGATTATGACTAGCAACCATGTGTTGTAATGCCCAGCCCTCCTATTGGTTGACGATTAAAATACGTGTGGAATTTAGATTCTCTCACAGAGTGGTTAACGACTGGAACTCCATACCTGATTCAGCAGTATCAGCTCCATCGGTGAACACTTTCAGAGAGAAGTTAGATCTCTGCAGAGATATATTTTGCAAGGATTAACACAGACCACAAGAGCCTACTATCCTTATCACCTGAATTTGAATCAAAGGCATTTGAGACTTTGGTGTTCTATTCTTTACTGTTGCCCCTAAATCTAACTCGAACCAACCCTAACCGGTGCTTAGCCTAAACCTTAACTTCATCTTACCCCAACCTGACCTGAAACTTGCCAGATATCCCATTTAATAGCATTACACTTCATCAAACATATTTTGTTCATGCCTAAAATATTATTTGCCAGGCTTCACTAACTTGGTCAATGAGCGTTTTAGAGTCATTGATGCGGTAGCACCCTATCAGTACTTAACGCCGCTGAGAGTTTGACTCGGCCAGATTAGGGTTATTTTCGGGATATTTTCATGTTAGGGTTAGGTTAAGGAAAGATTCGAGTTGTTGTTAGGGTTAGAAGACCTAAATAATTACATGCACAGAATATGGTTAAATTACTCGGTTGACACTGCAATCCATAGGTGAAAGGTATTTTTGTCACCCGTCAGAGAAAGGTAACCTGGGTAACAGTTTCATGACTTTTAATTCATCATTTTCGTGAGTGTATGTGTGTTTCATCTGCACAAACCGCCTTTATCATGCGGTTGGTCTACTGGTACTTCCTGATGCTTAAAGTTTAACTTTGCCACATCAATGTATTTATTATTTACTGTGTTGTGAAGATTGATTTCGTGGTCAGTCATAAGTTGTCATTAAACATTACACCTATATGGAAAATCTAGGTGTTTTTCTTGGAGATTTGAGGGCAAAGTAATGTAAAAAATTTAGGAATGCAACATTCCCCCTCTCCTTTCCCCTTTTTATTCCCCCACATTTTTCATTTGGGTAGTAATGTAATGTTCTCTTCGATAATTTTAGTCTTGTTACCAGCAAGGAATATTCTCGTTGACTTAGAATATGCAAAGGATATAGTCTTACTAGATGGAGATGCTGACAAAATACAGTTTTCTGAACACGTTGAGGAGCAGCAATCTATGGATGTTTGTCTTGTGATTCGTTACTATCAGATGTAAGATGATGTTACAGGACTGGACTACACTGACTCCATTCCTAGCTTAAAGATAAGCAGGAGTGAAGTGGTTGGTGGGGCGTGTTAATCACTTCACTTGTTATTTGGAAGTTGCCATCAGCCAACGCCAGCAGGTTTATTACGGACGAAATCTCAGAAGGCTCGTTCCGCTTGTGCCAAATTACACGATCTCTGGCGTAGACGTGATATACAGCAGGCGACCGATCAAAGGACATGTGTACTGTCCAACAGTCCTCTCCATCCTCCTATATGGCTGTTGGTGAGAAATGGTCATTGAAAGTGGGAGACATGAAAGCGCTAGCTAGTTGTCTTTGATCATAGTTGTCTGTGTCCTACCTCCCATGTTTGGTAGTGGTATAACAGGGGTGAGCAATATTGAGGTTAGGCATCGGTCGAGTGCTAGGTAGGTGGGAGGGAAAATCAATCTACGAGGCTGTGAAGTTACATCGATTAAAATGGTTGGAACATGTGTTACGCATGCGTAGCCATCGCCTTCCTCTAGTGACAGGCAATGTTAGCTGACATATGATGGATCAGGTTGGAAAAGAGTTAGCCAGTGGTGGTGGTCAAAACAATACCTGACTTCACCAGTCAATGAAATTCACAATAGTTGGTTTAAGCCAGCCACGTAGGGAGATGTAGACTGTTTGGTTGGGTTCCTCCGGATGCAAAAATCAAAATGGTTGGGGACAATTGGTGATATGACTCAAAATCTTCGTTCTCAATGGCTGGCACAGATACACATTCACTCTTTGTGATTTGTCAGTCATATCTAATAGAACTCTATTGTTCTTCCATATTACTATTGTTTTTCCCTCATTGGCACTTCTGTTTATTATCTCTCTGTTGGACCTCTGTTTACTGTCTTCTCTTGCTTTGTGTGCTACAAGGAGGGAGTGTAGCAACTCGAACTGGTGCACATCTGTGTAAAGTTCTATATTGAAACCAGTCATACGTCTTTCAAGATTTATACATCAGGGACGCTTACTGAAATACTCAGAGGCGATAGCTGTTGGTAAACTTAAGCCATCCCCCTCCCCACCTGTATGTGCAAAAACAATTTATTCTTACTCTTCACCTACCTTGGTAAACCCAACCTGATTATATTACCAAAATTAGTGTTAATTATTCTTATCCTTAGATCTTCTATCACTTTGTTTATTTTAATTGGCCTTTTATTTTTCATATAAATTGACTTGACAAGTAAGTCTGTTAGGGATCAGATTGTTTTAAATGTACTGCGCAAATCCATCACATTTTCCAGAGAATCTCCGTCTTCTAATCACAGCACTATCCAAATTTATAAAAGGCGTGCTAGCTGTCTTAAATGCAATGTTACAAGATCTTTTGTTGCTTTATGTTAGAGATAATTTCTGTGTTAGTTTTTCAAGATTGATGACGAGCTGACCGCAACCAGAGAACCACTGAAAATCAGGGAATATTAAACGACTGTTTCGTCTTAGTTTGGGACTCTTCAGTAATACGTACTCATGACCACTTAACCACTAGGAATCGAATCCAACCCAATTCTAACTTCTGACAATTTAGTTCTCCAGTACTCCCTGGTAATTTTCAGTGGTGGTGTCCTCTAACTAAAGTCGGTTCGTGATCAAGTCTTGTTGAAATCAATCACATCTCTGCAAGCCAACCCTTGGAAAGTAACTATTTTTTGTCTTATCTTCTTCTTCTTCTTCAGAAATCTGTTATAGATCCATTTTGCTTGAATTCAGATGAAAGAAGTAGTCAGTCAAGTGTAGTACACCATCAACGTCGTTATCAACATCATGTCCAGCCAAATTCTTATAATCAAACAATGAATTCTTTTCCCCCGCCATCAATTATGAATGCAAAAAGTCAAGATGATGATAATAATGGCCAACCTGACAATAATCATTTAACCAATCATGAGGCTTATTCCTGTCGAAATCATATTGATGATGGTTTTAGTTCAGTACTACTGACAAGTCCAGTCTCCGCTAAACGACCTCCATTACCTGAAAGGCAAACAGTTGAAAATGATTTACATGTCAGTAAAACTCTGTGTTATTCTACTTTCACACTTAATAATGAATTTACAAATACTAATACAGTGAAGAAATCAAATACGAAAATGGGTAAGTTCTGTATTGAAGTTTTAATTCAATCCAGTTTACTTATTACTGTTATTATTATTACCATTCTCGGGTTCCGAGTGGAACATAGGACTTCAACAGCTCGTATACATTTCATCCTATTCCCTGCGGTCCTCTTTAGGCGGCTCCGCGATTCCCCCATAAGCTAGCTCTTGTCTCCTCACATAATCTCCCCCATGTTACCCCACCTCGGACACCTGAGGTGGCGACCTTTCCAACTCGGGGGTCTGTTGGAAAGGCTTTTTGTGACACGCGTAGTTTCACATTTGTGTTGGAAATCCGAATCTTGTTCTTTATGCTGCCTGAGTGACAGCAGAAGATTTCTAAAATGGTTTCAGGTTGATGAAAGCGTATCTTGCCCTTCCGATTCTGGCTGGCTGGCTAGCTGACTTTGACGTCTTCATCGTTCCGACTGCCTATGGTTGAATCCGTACTTTCTAGATAATTGAAAGAAGTGACTTCTTCTGTCAATTCTCTGGTTGTTGTTGTTGTTGACATCATGATAGCCATTCACTGCTTCAGTGTAAGCCAATGGTTGTCGTCTGGGTGACTGGAGTAGATTACTGACTCATCAGTTGACAATTTTAACAGTCTAAATCCATTCCGTCTACTCTCGCAGATTCCCAGCACTTCTATACCATATCTCGTTTTTTTTTTGGCTGCCTGGGTAGCCTTCCCAGCTAGTCTTGTACATTGTACGGACGACATTCCACGTCACCATTCTTATTCTTGCTTTCATCGAGAGGTAGACACATCGACTGACTGACGACTGGCTTCCTGAAGTCTGGCTTTCAATAGCCCGGTGTGTCCATTCGTCTCTCCGATTCAAGAGAAGAATAAGTTTATTTACTATGTTTTTTGTATTTTTAATACATATTTTTGTGCGTTGCATTTTCTGTATTAATTCATGAAAAATTACCGTTCGAACATTAATAGACAGAAGACAAGTAGTTCAGCGAAGAGTCTCTTTTCGGCGAATTCATTTTCATAGCTGTACAACCGCAAATATATATGGTTGTTTTGTATGTGTGTGTACATTAAATTTGTCAAACGAAAATACAATTAGTAAGTTCAGATGAATTGGATGTTGATATAAGAGGGTAGTAACAAAAGTGATGAGTTGTCACAAACGATTGTTAAAAAAGAGTTACGTAATAATGTGAATAGTTTAATGAAAGAATTGTACTCAGGGTGTACATGGAAACAAAATATACGGAATTACACAAGGGTTTTAAGTAGAAAAATAAGCATACAAACAAAAGTTAAGTCAAATCAACAGAGTTGTTACCATGGGAGTAGAAGTGGTTGAATAATTTTCTTTTGTATGCACAGTTCTGGTTCCTCTAGCTTAATGGCTAGGGCTTCTGCGATGCAAAGAAGACGGAATCTTACTGTCTTTGGAAGGTTGTTCTTCACTTTGTAGATTACTTTGAAGGAGGCGTTTGCTGAGATGGAATAATCAGTGTTGATGAGGTGTTCTATTATTGCACTCCTTATGCAGCCATTACTTCCTTTCTGCAGCCACGCTGGATAGTGTTCTTTGACCCTTTTTGACAGGATACGCGTTAAACGACCGATGTACCTGGTTACACAGCAACAGGTGAACTGATATATACACATAGAAGTGGTCAGGTGTGGGATCTTGTCTTTTGGGCTTCTGCAGATCAGCGGGCGACTCTCAATGTTGCCGCAAAGAAAGTTCTTCTTAAAGAGGTGGAGATTCTCCTTGTAAGGACGTCACTGAGTAGGTCTCCTTTAAAGTCGAGGTTCATATAAAGTATCTTTTTTGGCACAGATGCTGTTTCTAGCTTTTGGATTTTTTGTTTGATGTTTTGTCTACGAATCTTCATGGGCAACCGTTTTGTATGAAGGTTTCTTTCAGGAAGTTTGGTTCTTCTTCCAGGATATCAGAGCTGCAGATGCGTCGGACGCGAGTGGCGAGAGATCTAATTAAGTTTCTTTTCCGACTGATTGGTACCCAGCTGTAGAAGCTTGTCAGTTGGCCGTTCCATGTGGGTTTCCTATGGATGGACCTTCTCAAAGTTCCGTCAGCTCTCGTTGTAAGTTCAACATCAAGAAAACTGATTTTAGATTCGTTTTCAATTTCAAGAGTGAACTTTGTGGCTGGATGGCATTTGTTGAATATTTGCAGTAACTGATTGAGATCGTGGCCGTCATGACAGATAATAAAGATGTCGTCCACATATCTAACATACAGTTGGAAATTGTCAATAGTTGATTTGAGTGGGCCTTTCTCGAGGCTTGCCGTGAAGCAAATACTGAAATACTTGTTTTCTGTATTAGTTTGGTTTGATTGGTTTTGTGGTGTAGAGTTGCTAGACCCCACGCCAAACCCTCCCTGTTTACCAGATCTTGGGACCGGCTAGAAAATTAGCGATCTCGCAAACTAGGTGAGGTTGAGAAAAGTGTGGACGTGTATTTTGCTCCTCTAGGGTGGTGGTTGATTGGACAACCTGAAGTCGGTGACCATAATGCCGCGATGTGTTTATACTATACATTTCGGTGAAACGTTGAATAATTTCACCAATTTCAGACATCTATTTGATCAACTTAATGTCATTGTGTGTCATACCAAAGTGTAGTAGAATGCAATGTTTTCTGGAAAGTTCTATGTTCATTTGTCAGTCAGTGATATTTAATGGTTGGAACTTTTTTGATTTGTTGCAGTTAAGGGATATTTTCAAAGATATTTTGGTGCGCAACACAAAAAGCCTTTCTTTTGAACTGGTTACTGGAGACTTTCATCAATACCTACTGCTCACTTTGCTCAGTACTGAAACCCGACCGATAACTGCTACCTTGCCGTGGTGGTCGGGCTTGAATGCCACAGTGACCCAACAAGCTAAACTGGCTGGGACTCATGTTCCTGCAGGTCCTACCATGTCAGGAAGGTTGTTTGGATAGCGGTTAGACTAAAAGCAGCTACCTAGGGTACATGGGCTCCAGAATTCAATCGGATCAAATGGCGTATGAACCCATATGGGTCACCGGCAACCATGGGAACGCAGCTCCTGACGCTGCTCCGCTGCCTTGCGGATTAGACTCCAAGTCAAAGGCTTGGGGGGTGGTCCCTTAGGAAAACCACCTGCTTCGGTCTGGGCGCCCGGGCAGTATCTCAGCCCTCACACAATATTGTGTGGCGCATCTTTCTTGGTGCCATATTGTACCAAGTTTTTCTGCGTTGAAATAAATAAATAAACAAAATCAGTACTGAAGATCGGATAGCCAGTCAAAAAGTGTAAGTAATAAGAAACTCTGGTGGTGAACCAACCAACCATGGACCTATCGCCCAGAAAATACATATGCAGGGGATGGAGTGGGTTGGACATAAGCTTAGGAGGCTGTTGAGCGATATCACGACTCCAGGTCTACGAGTAGAAGGTGGTGAATGAGAAACAATGAGTTGAACGTGTATCCGAGAGTGACATGAAAGAGGTCGTGTGAGGAAGAAAACAAAACTTATAGAGGTAATCCTGGTGTGGTGAGAGCTGTCTGCTAGCCAAAATTGGTAGACAGCAATTTACGTCAGTGTTTACGTCCAGAATCGGGGTCATGAGAAAAAAACAAGAACAAAGCTTAACCTTGAGGAACTCAACAACCAATCACAGCAGACTTCGCGTGGGCGGATACGATTCGCAGATATATCATCGGACTGTCTAATAAACGGTAACAAAGAGAAAGAAAACAACCAATCAGAAGACACTGCTTCTCTGCTAACAATAACACTCATAATAATGTACATAAAAATCTTTAAATATCTGTTGATTTTTTTCAATAAACGATCTGTTGCCTGACTCTTGCCTTCTGTCGTTACACCAGAACTGCTCATAAGCTTCCGCTTCCTCTTTAACTGATATCCCGCGTCTTCTTATTTGGGTTCCACCCTAGGACTTGGCATTGGTTATACATCAGTCCAATCCACTTGTCTTAGGTATCTCTACACTGATTCTGTATATAGTCTCTCTTTGGATGGGAAAGTAATTGTCAAATATTGGTTTTTGTAGGGATTTTGTTTGATTGGTTGGAGGATTTCATCATGAGCTGACATCGGTTGGAGAACCATTGGAAAACCTGGGAGTACCGGACAGCTGTATCGTTAGCCTAGTTCGGGAGTCTTCATTAGTACCCGCCCGCCGCTAGGGTTAGAATCCATGACCTTCCAGTTACAGGACTAGTGGGCTCGTAGACCATTAAGCCACTGAGACCCGATCCAATGTTCTACGATCTCGCCTTGTAACCAGTAAGTGCTGGGTTCGAACCCCCTGTGGTGTGGGTGCGTACTGTTGAAGAGTCCCAAACTAGGTTAATGAAGCAGCTGTCTGGCAGTACTCCTAGGTGGTGGTTCTCCAATGCTTCTCTAACTGATGTCAGCTCATGATGAAATCCTCCTCCAACCGAGGAAAGTAATTAATTAACTTTCAAGGTTTTATGGAGTGAAACCCGCCTAATACCTTCATTTTTTTTGTTTTACATATTCTGGTTAAATATATGTTTATACTGTTTACATTTTCCTTTACAGTTCAAACTGGAGATTTATCTGTTGAAACTGCTGGTGTTGGTGGCGGTGATGGGGGTGGTAGTACATGTCCTGCAACCTACAGATTAGAATCTGAACACTGTGAACATTTGAAGCAAGAAAGTAATTCACGTGTTAAGTTGGATGAATTTCGTAAAATGAAGGAGTATGCTAATGACGCTGATCCAAGTATCCCAGAGAAGTGTACAAATTCAGGAGTCTTGCCTTCAGAATATACTCCTACTCCTCCCCCTCCTCATCCTACTACTACTACTAGTACTACTCCACGATCAACACTTGTCGCTCAATTGAGATATTCACTGCTGAAACAAAAGCTTAAGCTGTTACGTGCTCGAGATGCTTATTATTTACGCAGACGTATAGTTGGTCATCTTGAAAAATTCCTCGATCAAGCGATTACATCTGATTCATGTATTGTAAGTATCTAATTATGATGAGTTTATTGTTTATTCGTATACTTATCTTTTGATTCTATTAATTTTATTATAGTGTTGTAACAATAACTATGTACACAGTATCTAATTTATTTTTAGATTATCCCGTCGATTGATTGAACCGGAGTGCTCGGTCTTAAGATAACATGTCGGCTTCTTGTGCAGATGCCTCGAAGATGTCTAGGCATGTAATTAGAATTTAATTGATGGATGGTGACTAGTAGTGGAATCCATGATGACGCGCGTTTCGTTCAATTTGGTAATCGTCAACTGGAAGGATGTACCTGCATTCCCCAGTGAGTGAGTGAGTGAGTGAGTGAGTGATGGGGTTCCCAGTGAGGCTCTAACCCACTGCCCATAGTTTCCAAAGCCAAAGCATTATCCACTAGACCACTTGGGCCGACATGTCAACTTGAGACCAAGCACTTCAGTTCAATCAATCGACGGGAAAATCTAAAATTGAATTAAATAATGAATATGACCCATCACACAAGAGGTGGCAGTCTTGACCCAAGTGGTCTAGTGGATAACGCTTTGACGTTTGAAACTAGGGACACTGGGCTCGATCCTCAGTGGGAGCACCATCACTCACTGACTGGGGGATGCAGTTATATCCTTCCAGTTGACGAGTCCCAAATAGGACGAAATGCACATTATTCTGGATTCCACTGCTAGTCACCATCCACCAACTTACACACAACATCGTTGGTTTTAGCCCTGGATACAAAAGTCTCGTCTGGCATCTGCTAATCTGCATCATTCATTAATGAAAATAAAACACGTAGTTCAGCGAAGAGTCAGTTTCTTTTCGGTGGCGAATTCATTTACTTAGCTGTACAGTCGCAATTGTACATACTTATTTTTGTATATATGTATGTACATTAGGTTTTTCTGATGCCCTCCAAGATTCATCGATAAGAATATCAGAGGAACGAAACATGACTGGTTTCAAAAAAGATACTTTACCTGGATCTGGATTTCAAGGGAAACTTAGCTTGTGATATCCTTAAGAGAAGAATTTCAGTATCTTTGAAAAGAACATTCTTCACAGCAACTCTGAGAGTAGTATTCTGCAGTCGTCCATTGATCTGCGGAAGTCCTGAGGAAAAGATCTCGCATCTGACCACTTCTATGCGCATATATCAGTTCACCTGTTGCTGTGGAAAGCCAGGTACATTGGTTGTTCGACGCGTATCCTGTCCAAAAGGGTTCAATCACACTATCCTGTATGGCTACAAAAACGTAATATTGGCTGCATAAGGAGTGCGATAATCGAACATCTCGTCAACACTGGTCATTCCATCTCAACTAACGCCCTGCTTCAAAGTAATCTACAAAGTGAAGAGCAGCCTGCCATAGTTAATACGCTTTCGTATTGATGAAGCCTTAGCCATAGAAAACAGAATCATCCTACCACTTCTACTGTCATGGTAACAACCGTGTTGACTTGATGTATGTGTGCTTGTTTTCTTCTTTTCTAACTCTTTATAACATTTGTAATTTTTAGAACTCTTGCACAATTCCATATTTTCCTTTGTTTCTATGTGCATTCTAATCACAGCTCACTCATTAAAGTATTCATATTATCAAGTAACTGTATTACGCTTACTCAACTTCTTTTATGTGTTAAAAGATAAGTATTTTGACAACACATCACCACTACCCTCCTGCCAATGTTCATCCGCCCCCCTAGTTACAGTTTGGTCACTCATCGAATTTTTTAAATGTCTTGACAACAATAACCCTAACTTATTTTTATTCTTATCGGACAAACCTAATGTACACACATAATACAAATACAATACAAGAATAAGTATATACAATTGCGATTGTACAGCTAAGTGAATGAATTCGCCGCCGAAGAGAGACTCGTGAAAAGTGAACAGTGTTGGTGTTAGTATGATGATAAGTCTGTAGTGCCGTTGATAAGCCACACTTTGCCAGCCCTTAGTTAGCGTAATTTACCTACGTACCCAATAATTCAGTACTCCACCTAAACTCTATGTGCACTGACGACCAAACGTAATTTAAAAGGACTTAGTTACTGAGAGGCATAAAATGGACTCTAACGAAAAACTTGGAGGATCTGGACTTCGCCGATGTGGTATATACGTCTGATTTCCCACAAACTGGAAGATATGCAAGTGAAAAGCAACAAGTTGACAGAAGAAGCATCAAAGATAGGACTTCAGGTGAACATAGAGAAAACAGAGGTAATGAAGATTCCTGGACAAGAACAACAACAACAGACAACGATCAGCATAAATGGCAGGAACCTGAAAGAAACAACCTCCTTTAGCTACCGACCTGGGAAGCATCATCTCAACTACAGGACGAACTGACGAGGATGTCAAAGCAAGGAGTGGGAAAGCAAGACAAGCCTTCATTACTCTCAAGTCTGTGTGGAGGTCAACAGCACTACTCAGCATCAAAAATAACATCTGGATTTTCAACTCCAATGTGAAGTCAGTGCTACTCACTATACGGATCAGAGACTTGGCCAGCGCGTAATAAAGAGCATCTCAAACAAACTAAAAACCTTCATTAACATTTGTCTTCGCTCAATACTCAAGATCAGATGGCCGGTCAGAAAAGATCAGCAACAGAGATCTCTGGCAATGAGCGAACCAACCAGAAACCGATTGTGAAACGAATAGGCAGGAAGATATGGAGGTGGATTGGCCATACTCAGAGAAAACCGACCACCAAGTGACATCACTAGACAAACCATTGCTCGAGTGGAACCCGCCAAGAGGGAAGCGGCGAGTTGGTCGTCAGTGCAAGGGTGACTTGGAGGAGGTGATGTGATGAGACGATGAAAACGTGTGGGCAGACTTGGAGCCAGGTGAAGACTAGCAGAGAACCGAACGCAATGGAGACGTTTGGCTGAATCCCTATATTCCTCTAGGAATTAAAGGAAATAATAATAATAATGATAAGTTACTGATGTAATGACAACACATTACCACCACCAATGTTGAACTGGTTTTAATCCATCACATCTAAACGAACTCCTTCTTCAAAGTGATCCATGAAGTGCAGAGCAACCTCCTGCCAAAGACAACACTTTTGTCTACAATGGTGTATAGATACGTTTAGGACATTTCTAAACGAGTCATTCGTATTTATGTGCTTACTTTTGTTTGTGATTGATGAGATCATTTTATTTGTGGATCCACTGGTGGATGGGTGGGGATAGGGCTCTCCAGTGGCTGTGCCACTTCATCCACTTATGGTCTTGAAGGTGGCTAGGATGAAAATGTGTTCAGTTCTGTCGAAAACTAATGTATAAATAACCCGGTCAATAGCCTCCAAAGCCTCAGGATGGTCGGGGTGGGTGCCTTGCGCTGCGGGTTGGCCACCCCTCCGCACACCTCTTGAAATGCTCCCATATGATCGGGCGTCTTACATAGCCTCTCCTGAGGAAGTCCTACTCACTGTCTTCACGTGGCGGAGGTGTTTCTCACCAAAGTGAGAGGGCTAAAGCGGATGCCCGGCGCTCTTCACCGGGTTGACTGTCCATTGGATGACAGTCTAGGGGAGATGGCTAAACCCTGATTCCAAACCTCCAACGACTGGCGTATGAAGCTCACTGGAGCTCACCGGCAGACGTATGGACAAAGGGCTTGTTGGATGTCCTGGATGTCTGGCCCCATTCAAAAAGCGTATGAACCGAACTCCGGTCACCGGCTGCCAATGGATAGTGGACTCCCTACTCCACTCCTACTGCCTTGTAGGTCACACTTGGTTGTGTAAAGGCTAGAGCTGCACTCTCAAACAAAAGGCCGAGCGATTCTGGGGACATCACTCGTACCAAATTCCCATGAAACTTCATAAACATGAAGCCGGCTCATCCTCCCGTAGGAGATAGCCGAAGTAAAGTAAAGTAAGTAAAGTGTATCAACAGATGAATTTGTGGAGATGTAGCGCCTATCAGTGGTTTTTAGGTTCTTGACCTCCAAGAAATTGGTCATGAGCTTGAGCCATGCTCCACCTGCTGAGGTAAAGGCAGCTCTGAGTAGTATTGTGGCGGTGGTGTGATACAGACATTGTGTTCCAACGGAATATTATTCTCACATATTCCTACAGTTCAATACTGCATTAGCAACAGAATACCGTGTATGTTTGAATATTCTATTTCATGTCGTTTAATGTGAACCAAAATCACACGCTCAGTGATTGGTTAAGGAGTATATATATATATAAACAGCGGTTTGATCAGTTGAAATTATACCTTGGCTTTCGTGTCTTGCCTTCTCTAATTACATTTGGTGTCGCTGCCTACCGGCAAACAGAAAGCCTAGACCCCGTAGTTTCTGAACAAGGAGACATGTGGATCATCTTGCGGGACTTTGAGGCTGTTGTGGAGTTGAATGGCGTTCAAGATCCGTCAGCGAAGAGGCTTTTACTCGGAACGCTGCTGAGAGGTCGGGCGAAGGCAGCATGTGATAGTGTGAGGCGAAAAACCGGTAAATACGCACCAGGGTCATACAAACTGCTTTCAAAGTGGTAAGGACCATACACAGTCACCGCAAGATGGGGTCACGTATATACCATCAGAATTGCAAACAAAGAGAACTGGATGAATGTCAGTGAGGTCCAGAAATGGAGACAGCAAGACAAGCAAACAAAGAGGCCAGTATCAAGAAAATCGGACCAGCTTCAGTCTTAAGTATTTGACGGGGGGAGCGAGTGTGGTGGTGTGATACAGACAATGTGTTCCAACGGAATATTATTTTAGTAAATGAAATATCCCCATATTGAAATCAAAACAAGATTTTGAGCGAACAATTGTTTTCGATAACTTCTTCTTCAGGCTCTACAGTTATAATTGATATAAGAATAAAACTTGGGCACTGTGGTAGAGTGTAATTCCATTACAGTTATAAATCCATGAATAATAGAGTACATATAGCCAATAAAGGCAAATGAAAATAATATCAGAAACTGTATTGGGGTGCATGTGTAAGTTGAGATGATAGTCCATTAGTTAACATAGTCAATCAAATTTGTATAGGGTGTATAGTCAGAAAAAATGTGATGAAGTGTGAATGAACAATTGGGTGATATAGTGCTGTTTTATAGTCAACAGAATACAAGTGTCATTGGGGTGAGAGAAATGCGATAGCCACAAAATACATACAAACACACATTAACAAAGAGGACACTGAATGTGAGGGCTGACCGATAATGTCTAATGATAGAATAAAGAGGCTAAATTGTAATAAGATGTTACAGAATTGGTAGGCTTAGTATAAAATCACAAAGGTTGACAAAATTAAGGGAAACAATGAGGTGAAATAAACTGGGTGGAGAAATGGATAATAAAGGCATGATATCACAGAATGATAATAATGGTAATAATAATACGGAAAATTATGATCCTGGTGACCTTATAGTGGGCCAGGGTAGACAGAGAGAGTGAATAAGTTTTTTCTGTACACATAAGTCTGGTCTTTCTCTATTAATCTCTAAAGCTTCAGCTGTGGCTAGGAGGCGTAATCGTGTGACTTTGGGGAGATTGTTCGGTACTCGATACACAACTGTAAATGACTCATCTACTTTGATGCTGTGTTCGCTATCCACTAGATGAGACAGAATTGCACTATTTTATGATTTGGTTGCTCTTTTCCCAAGCCAAACAGGAATATGTTCACGAGTGCGTAAAGAAGATAAATTCCTTTGGGTACGACCTATATAACTAGCTCCACAGGAGCAGTTGGCCTCCAAAGCCTTAGGATGGTCGGGGGTGGGTGCCTTGCGCTGCGGGTTGGCCACCTCTCCGCACACCTCTTGAAATGCTCCCATATGACCGGGCGTCTTACATAGCCTCTCCTGAGGAAGTCCTACTCACTACCTTCACGTGGCGGAGGTGTTTTTCACCAAAGTGAGAGGGCGAATGCGGATGCCCGGCGCTCTTCACCGAGTTGACTGTCCATTGGATGACAGTCTAGGGGAGATGGCTAAACCCTGATTCCAAACCTCCAACGATTGGCGTATGAAGCTCACTGGAGCTCACCGGCAGACGTATGGACAAAGGGCTTGTTGGATTTCCTGGATGTCTGGCCCCTTTCAAGAAGGCGTATGAACCGAACTCCGGTCACCGGCTGCCAATGGATAGTGGACTCCCTACTCCACTCCTACTGCCTTGTAGGTCACACTTGATTGTGTGAAGGCTAGAGCTGCACTCTCAAACAAAAGGCCGAGCGATTCTGGGGACATCACTCGTACCAAATTCCCATGAAACTTCGTGAACTCTCTTACAAACGATCGCCGCGCCTGGGCAGCGATGATTCGAGATGTTCATGAAGCCGGCTCATCCTCCCGTAGGAGATAGCCGAAGTAAAGTAAAAAGTAAGTAAGTTGAATTTATATACACACACATTGATGTCGCCATTTTGGGTAATGTATATCTTTAATGCACAGTGTCAATATCGGTTTGGTTGAGAAAGTGACAGTAACATCAAAATTCATGCATAAGCATTACCATCCTTTTTATGTGCTTTTTTTCTTCTTTTCACTGTTTCAGTCATTACCGAATTCTATACCAGAAGATTGGGATACTGATACAGCTTCTGTATTATCAGATTTATTTGATGATAACGGCGGTAATTTCAACAAATCTTGTGTTCATCACACTATTCCTGAATTCAATCACTTCAAAAATAGTCATTCAGACAATATGATAAAAAGTTCAGAAAGAAAATCAACTATAGATAAATGCGTTTTTTGTCCTGATAAAAAACATTCAACACAGGAAGAAAATGTTCAAAGGAAAGAGAGTAAATCTGCAATGAAGAAATCCTGCTTCAGTCAGGATGATTGTTGTCAAAGAGATTTTACTGGAGATTTAAAGGCATGTACTCAAGAAGGTGATAATTCAGGTAAATTTGCTGACCATTTAACCTTTTTTTTGTCTACCTGGTTAGCCTTTTCAGCCAGTTTCGTACATTGTACGGACATTCCACGTCCCCATTCTTAATTTTGCTTTCATCAAGAGAAGACACATCGACTGGCTGACTGGCTTCCTGAAGGCCGGCTTTCATCAACCCTCTGTGTCATTTCGCCTCTTCGATTCGAGCGAAGAATACGATTGTTGTTATTTGAAGTTTTTGTATTTTTAATATGTTTTGTGTGCGTTGAAGTTTCTCTAACAGTTAGGTAGGTTTACTGGTGTAGAGTTGCTAGCCCCACGCCCAACCTTCTCTTTTTACCTTGTCTTGGGACCCGTCGGAAAACTAGTAAGCTACAGGCGCAACGGATGAAGATATCTAAGTCAAAATCGATGGTGGTTTTTCGGCTTCCATCGTTTTCAGTGCACACAGAGTGAAGAGGAAGTGAAGAGCCATTAAGTAGAGGAGTTGCATTAGTAGAAGGAAGGCAAGATAATAGAGATGAAGATGAAGACAAAGGTGAGTGAGGATTAGAGAGGTTTCGCGTGCACTTCGGATTGTGAGGGCGATTGTTACTTCCCGGCTGCCCACACCGTGGAAGTTGGTTGCGTGACCGCAGAGCCCAAGGGACAACTGCTTGAGGCCGGTCACACACGGCCTGTTTTTGTTTGTTCTTTCTTGTTTGGTGTGTCCTCGAACTGCTGCACTTCGGTGCCAAGTTCTATGTTGAATCCAGCAGCAGCAGCAGCAAGTCAAAATCGGAATGGCGAGATACACCTTGATCAACCTGAAAACAGTTCGGAAGTCTTCTGCTGCCACTCAGGCAGCATAAAGAACAAGATTCGCATTCTATTCAACACAAATGTGAAGTTAGTCAGTCAGTTCTTCTGCATGCGTCAAAAACTTCCACTGCGTGTTACGAAAAGTATTTCCAACAAGTTACAGACCTTTATCAACAGCCGCCCACTCTCTGGCTCCATCATAAAGATCAAATGACCAGCCGGCCAGAAAGAATCAACGACAAGAAACTCTATCAACAAACCGACCAAATATGTAGGAGAAAATGGAGGTGGATTGGACATACGTTGAAGAGGCTGTCGGATGATATTGTGCTCAATACAGACCATTGCCGCTCGAGTTAAATCCCAGTGGGAAGCAACGAGTGAGTCGTCAATAAGAGGGTCACATGAAGGAGGAAGTAGGAGATTATGGGCAGTCGTGGAGCTATGCAGCTGAAGAGGCTGGCAGAAAATAAAACAAAGAGTAGATGTTGGATGATTTCATAATGAGCTGACATCGGTTAGTGAACCATTGGAAAACCACCAGACAGAGAGTACTGCCAGACAGCTGTTTCGTCAGCCTATTTTGGGACTCTTCATCAGTAGGCACCCACCGAAGACCTTCTGTTTACAAGGCGAGCTAGCTCGTAGACCATCCAGTCACTGGGACCCAACTAGATGGCCCACGAATTTTAACGTCTAATTAATTCCAGTGACTGGCTGTAGGACGAAGTTGCCTGGAGTTGGAGTGAGAAGTTGTGTCCAGTGGGATCCACCTGGCGTTAGAATCACGAATCGGTAGAAGTTGGAATTCATCGACCGGCTATTGAATGAATCAGGTCCCGGTGGCTGAATGCTCTACGAGCTTAACTTGTAATCGGAAGCTTCTGGGTTCACTGCCTTATGAGGTCGTGGATGAGTATTGCTGCAAAGAGTCCCAGACTAGAGTGAAATAACTGTCCAGTACTTCCTGGTTGCCCATGGTTCTCTAGCTGATATCAATCAATTGGAAGACTATGTAAGGTGGTGCCAGGCTTTATAATTTCTTGATTATTATGATTTTCACATAATCTTTATTAGAAGATTATTTGCTTTTTTCCATTATGGGTAAATTTTGTTTTGATAAAGTCTCACAGTGGTGTTATACAGTAATGTTTACTGATGACCACGTTTCGAGCACAATTTATTGCTGCTCATAGTCATATCAAGGTAATCACACGACTTCCTAAATTCATTTATATAGTTCCATTGTTTTTCACTTGATTTGATTGGTAGTATTATTTTCCATATTTCGGGTATGAGTGATGAATCATTCCTATTGCATGTGTTGGGTGTAGATTCGATGAACCAGGCAGTATTCAGTAATCAACCTCTCTCGCGCTCCACCTACCTAGATTACTTTTTAGAATTTTAACTCTCTCCCACCCTATTGTGTGGTTGTGTGTTAATGCATGCAGTGCAATTGCTGAGCTTTTTTCTCTAAATTACTTATCTTCTCTGGGTCAACCATTCTTACCTTAGCTAAATTCTTATGTTCTGACAATCTGACTACCCCTGACCTACTAGTTTGACCTATGCAGTTGACCTCCCTCACAGTCATTGCAGGGTATTTTGTAAATTACATTATTTTGTCTAATTGGGTCAACTGGATCCTTTAACCTACAGAGCTTGTCCCTGAGTGAGTTTGTAGGTTTAAATGCCACCCTAATTCCTGCTTTATTTAGAATCTTACGTAGGGTCTCAGATGTCCCCTCTTTATGTGGTATAACTGTAGATAACTTATATTCTTTCTTATTTATGTTATTATTACTAGTTTCACAATTATTTTTACTTTTCTTTTGGCGTTTTTCAATCTTCCTGATGAATTTTATGGGATAGTTATTTGATACCAACGCTTCTTCTTCTATCTGTTTTATTTCATCATTTAGGTCTCTTTTTGTGCTACTTAGTGCCATTGCTCGGTTTGTTAAACACTTAACTAAGCCTGCCCTAACAGTTAAAGGATGAGATGAATTAAAGTCTAAATATCTATTAGCAGAATGCGTTGGTTTTCTATAAACACTAGTGTGTAGTTTGCCTTCTTCTATTCGTTTTATTTTACAATCTAACACCATAGCTAATTCTCCTTGCTCATTTTCGGCTTCAAATGTGAATTGTATTCCCTCCACTGAATCCTTGTTCATCGAATCTACACCCAACACATGCGATACCCGAAATATGGAAAATGTTACTACCAATCAAATTAAGTGAAAATCAAGTGAAAAACAATGGAACTATATAAATGAATTTAGGAAGTCGTGTGATTACCTTGATATGATTATGAGTGGCAATGATAAATTGTGCTCGAAGCGTGGTCATCAGTAAACATTACCGTATAACACTGTGAGACTTTATCAAAACAAAATTTACCCATAATGGAATTACACTCTAACACAGTGCACAAGTTTTATTCTTATATTTGCTTTTTTTTAAACACTATTTCTAAATAGGCAATAGGCAAGCAAAGTCAAACAGTTCACCTGTTGTACATAAAAAATTCCAATGTGACAGAAAGACTACCACCACTACCACCACCACCCAGCAGTTCGCTGATCTCAAAAAACGAGCAGAACATCAATTAGGCGAAATGATAATGAAGTTGAAGACAAATCAGTCTGATGATTCACCTTCACAATCACAACATTATCCTGTCCATGTATGCACTGTGAAAACTGTCGATCAATACTTACTGGTGGTTGCATTGCTGACGGTATTAAATTCACTAAGTCTTATGCTGATCGTCAATCCTCAAAATATACTCCTATTGCACCGAAATTGTTCGTGGCTGAAGCATGTGCTGCATCAGGTATCACTTTTTTTCTGTATTTGATGTTTTCGCTGTCTATTATTTTTCACCTCACACATCGTCCATTGTAAGTAACTGGTGTTTATGCGCATACCGTGAATAATGGTCAATATTTTAAGCATTGAAAACACATTTATTTCCCGTTAGGAATTTAAAACAAGCAACAAGGCAGGTTAATAAGATTTTATAGTGTGAAATATTCCCATATCACAATCTGAACGAAGAATATTCTTTTCAATACATCCTTCTCCTCTTCAGGTTCTTAAACAATTATAAAATATAATATTTATTGTTGTCGTTACAATAATGATAGCCTGTCAGTTATGCGGCGGATACATTTTCTTAACGTAGAATAACAGATTAGCAGTTATAGGGTGTCAAAATATATATGGTCGTATTTGTGTGACAAACGTGCCCTGGGCTGAAATCGATTACAAAATATTTCGGTGAAATGGGAGACAATGGTGGTGATTAGTCGTCATAATAGATTCGTAGAGTGTGGGGTAGGAAAATTGACAAGTAAGTCAGTTCAAGGTTATAAAAGGTGTCAGGTGAGTGAGTGGATAGTACACAGTAGTATTTATTAAACAGGAGATGGTAGCTGTCCAATGTTTACCCAGCAACTCAAAGATGTCTTACCTAACCTTAGATCTTCTTCATGCATATACCATTTCAGCTGTTCCTGTAGTTCAAGTTATGTAGGGCGCACGATTATGCAGGTTCGTCTACGGACGGGTTCGAGAACATTTACCAGCTTGGGGAAATTAAGTGCATAAAATGTTCGATCCTGTCACACTTGGTCAATACTGGCCATAGCATTGACGTCAACACAGCTTTCAGGGTTATATACCGAATTCCGAAATCGTTATCACGTACAGTTCGCTTACGTCTCCTACACAGAACTGAAGCTGTTGCAATAAGATCGACTAAATGGGAACTTTGTATCTAAAAAGAACACACTCAGACACTGTTCCTACCGTGGCCAGACTTGGATTGATGATTTTTCTTCTCACCAATAGTGCTTCTTCCCCTTGTAACAACAGAAGACAAGGGCCAGGCAACAAATCGTTTATTAAGGAAATCAACACATATTTATATATTTTCGTGTACATTATTATAGATTATTGTTTGCAGAAAAACACCGTCTTCTGATTGGTTGTTTCTCACTGAAAGTTAACCTTGCATCTCTTTGTGGCTGTTTCTTGAATTTCAGATCATCTATATGCTAACTGTATCCGCCTACGCAAAGTCTTTGTTCATATTTTTCTCATGACCAATATTTGGGACATAAACATTGACGTAAATTACTGTCTACCAACTTTGGCTAGCAGCCAGCTCTCACCCTTAACTCTTTTGGTTTTTCCTTCCTTTGCTTATTATTATTATTATTATTCGTCATAATTTATGCCCTTCATGCAAACATTCTCTCAATAAAATCGAATTTTCCATTTATACTATGCGAACTTATTATTAGTGATATTATCTCTTTCATAGGATGGATTGAACTTCTCAGTATATGCCTCCATCTATTTCATTTCACACATTAGTTATTTCATTATGGACCCCTCTCATAGCAGTCTTACTATCTCCTCTTCTTTAATACACACTACCTTGTACTAGCCACTCACTCACCTGACACCTTTTATAACCTTGAACTGACTTACTTGTCAATTTTCCTACCCCACACTCTACGAATCTTTTATGACTAACCAATACCATTGTCTCCCATTTCACCGAAATATTTTGTGGCCGATTTCAGCTTAGCACGTTTGTCACACAAATATGACTATTTATTTTGACACCCCATAACTGCTAATCTGTTATTCTACGTTAATAAAATGTATCCGCCGCATAACTAACTGGCTATCATTATTGTAACGACAACAATAAATATTACATTTTATAATTGTAAGAACCTGAAGAGGAGAAGGATGTATTGAAAAGAATATTTTTCGTTCAGATTGACTTTTACAGGTTAATGAAACAGGATTGTATGAATTCATCAAATTTCGGTAGAACTCGTCAGGTGCTGAGTACTCTACATACACGGATATATATACTTTTGAAATTACATTGGGCAATATAAGATTGATAAGTGAACAAAATACATTGGATTAGTCATGCAGAAAGACAGGTGTGAATGTTTTTCCAGGTCATGTTCAAATAGATAAGGGGAGAGAGAGTATGGGAGATCAAAATTAAGATAAATAGCATTACGTCATTAGAGAATATAACAAGAATTGCAAACCGAGGTAAATCAGTAGTAATAGTTATAAAAACAATAACAATAGTAATAATGTTGAAGTGAGTTAAGATAATGTTACTGATAAAGGATATTTTTAAATGAATCAAGAATAACAATAATACCATGGTAGATTCATAGTGACGACCATCTCCTGTTGTACACAGAGACCTGGTTTATAAACTCGAATCGCACAAGTCTCTGCAACTGCAAGTGTCTTCTTGTTTAATTGGCGGATGGTGACTGGCAGTGGAACCCAAGATGTGCGTTTCGTCCTATTTGTGACTCGTCAACTGGATGCACATCCATTCCCCAGTCAGTGAGTGATAATGTTTCCACTGAGGCTTTCGCGTTTGCAACTATGGACACTGGGTTTGAGCCTCGGTGGAAACATCATCACTCACTGACTGGGTAATGTAAGTGCATCCAGTTGACGAGTCACAAACAGGATGAAATGTGCGTCATCCTGAATTCCACTGCTAGTCACCATCCATCAATTAATTTCTGATTGCATGCCCAGACATTGTCGAAGCATCTGCACAAGAAGCCGACACCCTCAGACTCCTTACTTGTCGTCGGGCTTCACTTGAGTGACGACCTGGCGCGTGATGTCACCCAGTGGTCTTCTCAGTGTGTATCCAATCCGTCTCCATTTTCGTCGGGCATATTTGTTGGGCAATCTATTACTGATTGGTTCCTTCCTTCTGTTAATTCTTTGTGGACATCTGGTCTACAGTATGGAGTGGGCGAAGGCGCAACTGTTGATAAACGTCTGCAGTAGTCTGTTTGAAATGTTTTCGGTGACAAGCCAAGTCTCTGACTCATGTAGAACAACTGACATGAAATTGGTGTTTTGGGAATCCGAATTCTGTGCCTTATGCTGAGTGCAACAGTTTCCCTTTAGTGATAATGAAACTCTGCCTTATCTTTCCAATCCTTGCTTTGACATCTTCATCCGTTCCGCCTGTAGTTGAAATGATTCTGCCAAGATAAGTGATGTGTTTATTTACAAGGCTAAACAATCTAAATGCAAAAATAACTGATCTTTTCTAGTGAATAGCCGACAAAACTTCTTTGAGACATGTGCTATCACAAAACGTTCCCAACGCAGGGAAAAGACGATTACTCTCCAATATTTCAGTGGTTCTATGAAACAATTATAGTAACATCAAAATTCAAATTTACGTCAACAGTCCCGTGAGGCAGTTTTACAGGTAATGTTATAAGTATAAAACTTGGGCACTGTGGTAGAGTATAACTCCATAATGGTTAAGATTTTATTTTGATAAATCACACAGTGTTGTACAGTTATATTAACTGATGACGTTTCGAGCACAAACTACTACTGCTCATAATCATATTAAGTTACTCACACAACTTTTTTTTCTTTCATTTATATACATGTGTGGAATCTATTAGATATTGGATTTTGACGTCTGTCTATTTTCGACATAGAACTTTGCACTGACGTGCGGCAGTTCAAGTCGCCACACTTCCTCCTTGTAGCACACAAAGGAAGAGAAGAAAGTAGGAGAAATGCATAATATAGACAGTAAACAGAGGTGTGAGACAAAGGAGTAGTAATAACGAAGAACGAACAGTTTCATCGGAAATCATAAGTCAGAAGGAGTGGATGCATCTGCGCTAGCCATCGAGAACGATTTTGAGCCATGTCACCAATTGTTTCCAACCATTGGTTTTTACCGTCCCGAGGACCCCCCCAACCAGGAAGTTGGATTTTGACGACACCTTCTCTGCCTACCAACGAAGTAATTCTCTTCATTTTCCATGAGCCGATGTCTTTGCAGTGCTAGTACCACTGAACTGTTGGCACGAGGCCATTTTCAGTTTCAGCAGCTGCGCCTCTCACAGGCTGTTTTAAAATCCAGTAATTGCAAATGCGATTTAGCAAAAAATGTTCCTATGAAATATTAAAATCGTCAGCTTATCTTCCTTAATACTAACTCATCTCATGCAAATTGTACAACTATGGATGTATCCATCAATCGACCCGCTAAAGCTTTTTAAACTCATAACACCTCCCCGTTGAACAAATCCTCTCCTTCATAAGCAACCCGAAATCCAGGCAGTACTGGAAAACATTATCTTCCTCGAACTGCAAGCATAACTTCGTCAGAGCAAGCATTTGATACGAATCAAGTTCAATACAACCTTTAACTCACGTGTGTGAACCTCACTGGACCACTCTCGAGGTTATTCACTGATTGGTTAATTAGTGGTGCTTAAAGTTTAACTTGTCTCGTTGTAATAGTAATCAACAGGCGCAGACATAACGAAGTAGCAATGTAGCAAAAATATTCATTCAGACATCTCGAAAAAACAAATTAATCGAGCAGAGAATATCCTTTTCGATAATTTCCTCCTTCTCTGGCTCTACAATTATATATACAAATGTTTATATACATAGAATATTCTAGAATAATAGTCAATAACAATATTCGTGTTTTTTCTTAAATAATATCAATTTGTAAAGTAAGATACCAATGGAATTCTAGTTCATTAAAGATGCTTAAATTATAGTAATAATAAAAATAGAATATCAACTAAAATTAGGGAATTTTCTACAAAAATTAAGGTTCATTCGAACCTGGATGGCCAAAGTAAGGACATTGTCTGAACTAGCTTCTTCTGGACGCATAAATTAGGCTTCTTAATGTGGATCTCAACGACATCAGCAATATTTCTATGGAAATTTCCTTAATTTTAGTTGATATTCTATTTGCTATTATATCTTTATTATTATTATGATTTAAGCATCTTTAATGAACTGTAATTCCATTGATCTTACTTTACAAATTGATGTTATTTAAAAAAACAAACCAATATTGTTATTGACTACTAATCTAGAATATTGTATGTATATAAACATATGTTTATATAATTGTGGAGCCAGAAGAGGAAGAAGTTATCGAAAAAGATATTCTTTGCTCAATTATTTTGTGTTTTAAAGTTGCACTGCATTTATTCAATTTCTTTTCAGTTATAACCAAATTGGCAACAGAGTTATAACACTTAGTTTGTTTCATGGGATTGAGAAATACAGTTTTGATAACATACTTTGTTTTGTAATGTCACTACTCTATCTGCAGTGTTTTATATGCCTTCTATCAATTCGATGTTTGATTGGATGGAGGATTTTATTATGAGCTGACACATCAGTTAGAGAACCACTGGAAAACCACCATTGGAGTACTGGACAGCTGTTTCGCCTTAGTTTGGGACTCTTCATCAGTACGCACCCACCACAGGGGGTTCGAACCCGGGACCTTCTGGTTACGAGGCGAGCTAGCCCGTAGACCATTGAGCCACTGGGACCTCCATCCAATCAAATAAAATATCTACAAAATCAATGCTTGAAAATTAAATGTTTCTTCTGATTTTTTTTCTTTAAAACTACAATGAAATTGAAAAACTTTTCTTTTCTATTTCTGCATAACGAAAAAAACACAAAACAAAACAAAAATCATTCTCAGGTGGAATTTCTTGGTTTCAACCGTTAAATCAAAATCGTTTTAACAATATTGAAAGCAGATCAGCAAGGGATAAACAACGATCCAACATAAAGTGTCTTTATCGAGAGATCCCCTGTCGTTTCGCCTCATCTCTGAATCGATCGATTGTCAATAATAATGACCAGCTGGGAAGGAAATCCAGTGTTGCTGCTAACTACTGTGTACACACTTCACATAATCATGCACATAATCATAATGGTGGTGGATTCTGTGATGATACTGAGTCGAATGATGAATCATCTACCGCGAAACAGAAGTCGTCTTCTAGTGAAGCGGAGGAGGCAGAGGTTGAAGAAGATGATAATGATGAAAAAGGTAATTTGTGAATTTAAAGAATTTCTCAACTGTTGTTAGGCTTGTTTTTTTCATTTTTTTTCTTTGATTATTTTTTGAATATCCTGCACGTCTCATGAAGTCATCAGAAAATTTACTTTGATGATTTGATCCTGTGGTTTTTTTGTATGCTAATGGAAGTATCCTTAACTGAACTTAACGACTTAGCAATCGACTTGTTACCAGGGAATAGTCTTATAGACTTAGAATATGCAGATGACATAGTCCTGTTAGGGGAGGATGCTGACAAAATAGAGCAGAGTCTTCTGAACACCTTGAGCAGCAATCTTCGTATGTTTGGCATGCGATTCGCCCCTGTAAAATGTAAGATGCTGCTACAGGACTGGACTACGTCAACTCCTAGCTTAGTGATAGGGAGTGAAGTGAAAGAACATGTTGACCACTTCACCTATTTGGGAAGTTGTATCAACACCAACGGATTGATTGGTGACGAAATCACAGCACGGATCCAAATAGCTAGGGCTGCTTTCGCTAACTTACACTATCTCTGGCGTAGGCGTGACATCCGACTATCAACCAAGGGAGGTGTGTACTGCTCATCAGTTCGTTCCGTCCTTCTCTATGGCTCTGAAACATGGCCAACAGGAGTTGAAGACATGAAAAGGTTGACTGTTTTTGATCATAGATGTCTACGATCTCTTTCTCACGTTAGGTGGTATAATAAGGTAAGTAATGTTGACGTTAGGCGTAGAGTGTTGGTTGGGCAAAGAGGGAAAATCAATCGACGAGGCTATAAAGTTACATAGATTGAGATGGTTAGGTCACGTGCTGCGCATGCCTAACCATCGCCTCCCCCACCCCGACGGGCATTACTAGCTGATATAGCTGCAGGTTGGAAAAGAGTTAATGGTGGCCAAACAAAAACACGGCCTCATCAATCCATGAAATCCCTGACAGTTAAACTGAGTCAGGTAGGGAGATGCAGACTTCCGGGTCGGGGCCCTCGGGACTCTAAGAATCAATGGCTGGACACAGACAATAGGTGACATGACTCAAAATCGTTGTCAGTGGCGCAGATGTATTCAGTCTCTTTAACCTTTCATATTCCTTTCTACCATTACTCATTCTGTTTCACTCTTATACTTGTCAAAACTCTATTGATTCTCTTCACTCATTTTCTTGTCTACCTTTGTGTGCTATTTGGAACGTGGCAACTCGAACTCCTGCACTTTGGTGCTAAGTTCTATGTTGAATCCAGCAGCAGCAGCAGCAGTGGTTTTTTGTATGGTGACATTTATGAAGAGTTGATGGAGGTGGTGATTCAAGTCAGAGAATAGTCTTGTTCTGTCTAACCTACTACATTAAGAAAGTTAGACATTCTGGAATCACCCAACCTCTACTTTCACAATTTGCCAACTCTTGTATCTTACATATTCTACTTTACTGCTTCCCTTTAGTCTTTCCTACAGAAAAAGGACTACCCAATCTTAAGAAGGATGTCGAAGGTAGTTAGTAGGACTAGTGGTGTAAAACTCAATCAGCTCGTCACCACTTTAGTTGAAAGGCATCTGAATGGTCTAAAACCATACTCTCAGACCCCCAACACCCCCTCTATTCCCAACTCTCTCCTTGTATCTCATCAAGTAAAACCAGAAATCAGTATAAAAGAATCTATGCTCGTACAACCAACCAAGTACAGGAACTCAACGATACCATACTTGGCCCGTGTTCTAAGTGGCAGGGACAATGTTAAGCGCGAAACCTATGACTTGCTTTGTTGTTAATAACATAATTTTAGGCTTTTATTTCTCTCTTATTTTGTATTCTATAGTGAATTCCTTCTTAAACATACTTAGCTACCTGAATTATTAACATTGGCTTCCTTTTTTGTACTTTACTCTATTCGTTCTTTCGTGTATCTACTGGTTCCGAGTACAAAATTGTCCTGTCACTAACCATCATGTAATTATTAGTTTTTGTGGTTGTTTTTTTATTTATTTTTTTCGGCAAAATTAACTGACAACCATTGGTTGTGAACGCCATTGTCACCACCTTAAAATTTTGTGTTATGCAGGGTTATTCACACTACCACTACAAACACTGCATTAGACCTGACAATAAAAAACAAAACAACAACCCTGAAATGTTATTTTATGATTGTTTAGTGTTGTTTCAACCAAATTAACTGATCATCTTGGCAATAAACATTCTTAAATATCATTTCATAACTTCTTGTATGACTATAGCTTTACTGTCACCATGCATAATCATATCATAGCTTCCACTACCCAATACTGAGATATTATTGTATGTTGTTTATTTTATTTTCTACTTCTTGGTATTTTTTCGCATTTTTAAAAATTATTTTTGTGTTTTTTTGTTGTTGTTGTCTTTATATTAATTTTTGAAATACTCCTTTTAAATGTTTGATAAAATTAGATGCAAATATTGTAGATATGTGCTGAAAATTCCACACTGTACCACTAGTACTGTTTATGGAATAAAGCAGATTATTCTTATTATAATTGATCTGGTACAGCGTGCAGGTGAAATTGTCCCACTAGATGGAAATGCTGATAAAATAGTCCTTTGAACGTATTGACCAAGAATCGGAGTATGCTTCGTGCTGTAAGAATGGTGTGCCTCAACTCCTAGTTCAAGGATAGGTGGTGGGTTAGGTAGTGAGGTAGGTGGTTGTGAGTGTACTAATCACCTATGCTATGGGGACACATGTATCAGCTTCGATTTAGTGATTGGCTGGCGCCGATGATTCCCAAACTAGGCTGATGAAACAGCTGTCCAGTACTCCCTGCAGCTGGTTTTCAATAGTTCTCTCTAACTGATATCAATCCATGATCAAATCGTAAAAACAAAACTATAAGCCTTACAAACCAAACTATAGAGGAATTCCTTTGTTTTAGGAAATGAAAATATGATATAATGTATGAACTTTCTCGTGATTTCACTCATACTCACCTGATGAGTGTTAAATGAGTACAAAATCTAGGTAAAGAATGATTTACTACTGATATTCACTCAACATTTTAGCACTGAATTAATGTTCTCTACCTTTGAAAAAAAAATCCAGTACTTCCTTTCTGATTGGTTGCTAGAATTCCTGTTAGATTGCTTAAATTATCTGGGAGGAAAATGATATCCATGGATGTTACTTCGCTTTTCACCAACGTTCCCCTCACTGAAACTATCTACTTTATATGCAAATTCATTGAGGATAAGAATGTAGACGTATGTGTTCCGATCCACTACTTAAAGGAACTACTATTGAGGTGCACTTTAAATGTCCAGTTCAAGTTCAACAACACGATTTATAGACAAAGAGATGGAGTGGCAATGGGGTCACCATTGGGTCCTTTACTTGCAAACTGCTTCTTGTCTAGTTTGGAGAATAATATTTTACGGCCTACTATCGACAGTTTCCATCTGTACCAAAGATACATGGATGATAATTTCATTATATGTGACGACAATACCGACATCGAATTGATAACTAAAGAGTTGACAACAGCTGCCATGATGCCATCAAGTTCACGTCAGAATCAGAGATTAACTCGGAATTCCATTTTTTGGATGTTTTTCTAAAGAGGAGATCTGATGGTTCTCTTCAAAGATGCATCTACAGGAAACGAACATGGAATGGTCAGTACACAAATTTCCATAGCTGGGTCCCTTTGAGAAGAAAGAGAAATCTGATCCATTCCTTATCCTCAAGAATAAGGAGGATATGTTCAAGTGATGCAATCGTTGGAGAACTGGAGCGACTCAGAAAAGTCCTCATAGAGAATGGATATCCTCCAAGATTTATCGAGAAAAACATGAAGCCAAGGGAAAAACCTGAAACAATACAGACGGTGCCGAAGAAATTACTGTTTATGAGTGTTGAATTTAAAGGTGATACCGCAGCTGAGATCCTGAAGAATCGCTTATGCAGATCACTGAGGAAAGCCTTCTTCATGGCTGAGCTACGTATCAATTTCTACAGCCGACAAATGATCAACGGATGTGTGAAGGATAAACTACCGCTTTGGGCCACCTCAATGTGTGTTTATAAATTCACTTGCTCGTGTGGAGCTAGTTATATTGGCCGCACAAAGAGCACGCTTTCCAAACGCATCTCTGAACATTATCCGGCATGGTTAGCAAAGGAACAATGTAAGACAATTACTAGCTCAATTCTCGAGCATTTGGTGAACTCAGGCCACTTAGCTCCACCAGAATCATCTTTCAAGATCATCTACAAAGTGAAGCCAAATGGTACAAAGGGCGTCAGGTTTCGGCTTTTGTGTATGGCGGAGGCTCTGGCAATTCATCAATACAACCCTGAACTCTGTATACAGAAAAAGTTTGTCCAGTCTCTTATTCTACCTTGGTCTTAACCTCTTCACTAATCGTTCCTTGTAAGTAAAATATATTTTGATTTTTTCTTTTCATTCTAATTTCACTTTTAGTTAGATTTTCCTTCAATAATTAATTCACTATCATCACTCTCATATGCTCCTTTTGTATATTTTCACACCCTCTTCACACTTGTTAAATTGACACTCAAATACCTTTATTCTCACTTAATAGCAATTTTAACCTTATCAAATTTCTATCTTTTTGCCGTTGAGTACCATGTAATTTATAACTTTTAATTTTCACTTCTGTAGCCACTTCTGAGTAATTATATCAATTATGTCACCCCCTATTACTCCATAATAGACCACTATATATTTGTGTAAGTATAAATACGATTGTACAGCCTCTGAAGATGATTTCGTCGATAAAGAAAATTTTCTTCGCTGAATCTGTCTTTTATTTTCTTCACAAATTATTAACAAAATATTTCATGTTTAATTGGTGGATGGTGACTAGCAGTGGAATCCAGGATAACGCGCATTTCGTCCCATTTGGGAAGATCATCACTCACTCACTCACTGGGGAATGCAGGTACATCCTTTCAGTTGACGAGTCCTAAATAGGACGAAATGCGCGTTATCCTGGATTCCACTGCTAGTCACCATCCACTAATTAACTTCTGATTACATGCCCAGACATCGTTGAAGCATCTGCACAAGAAGCCGACCGAGGACTTTGGTTCAATCAGTCAGTCGACGGGAAAATCTAAAATTCAATTGAAAATATTTCATGCCTTGACTACAGATTGGTGTCATTTAGAGAACCAATGAAAAACTAAGGGGTATTGGTGCACAGCTGTTTCACCTTGGTTTTGGATTCCTCCGCAGTACGCATTCACTGGGGTTCGAACCCAGGGCCTTCCGGTTAGAATATAGTGAATTCGTAGACCACTGGCGCATGGAACCCAACTTCTTACTAGTGGTGTAAAATAGTTCTTCAACTGACATCAATCTGTGCGCTCAACCTCCTGGAAACACAGATCAAACCCCTACAAGCTACTAACTAACTAACTCTTGCCAACTATTCGTGATTTTCAAAATATTGCTTTTTTATTTTTTAGAAAAACCTGAAACACTCAAATCATCATTATTAACCAATATGAAATGTTGCAATCAACATCAACAACAAGACACAGAAAGCTTTTCATCTAATATCATCACTGATGGGGTCGACTTACACCCTGGACAAAAGAATTCACCAATATCTAAAAGAATAACCTATGAAATTGGTGATAATATTTATGGTGCTGAAAGCATACAAACGCTTTTCAGAAAACGTATGTCTGCATGGATATCACGTAGTGAAGAACGACAGAAACGGTTACACTTAGCCTCAGCAGAACGACGTTATCAAAAGGCGATGGATATGGAACGTACACAACTCTTTCATCCTACTTTATCGGATCAATACATGAGACGGCCGCTCAACTCACACTTGTCTAAAGTTAATCCATGTCATTGTGGTGCTGATTGTGGTGGTGTTGGTGAGGGTGGGGGTGGTGGTCGTTCAACTTGGCGAGATATCAGTAATTGTTGTGTTCATTGTTCACGAAATTCGAATAATCAAACTGTACAGTCGAACAGAAGTAATAATGGCGGTGATAGCCACTGTACAAATCCTATGAGCGCTAGAAGGGATATTCGACAGGCTTCAGTAAACCGTAAGACTAAATATTTTGTTTGTATATTTTCAAATTGTTAAATTGTCATGTTTAGTAATTATGAACTCTCAACATTTTCGGATAAATAGAATTATTAGGTGATATAAGTATAAAACTTGGGCACTGTGGTCCTAGAGTATAACTCCAATATGGATAAGATTTTATTTTGATAAATCACCCAGTGTTGTTATACAGTAATATTAACTGATGACCACCTTTCGAGCACAAATTATTATTGCTCATAATCATATCAAGTCACTCACTCATACAACTTTCTTGCTTCGTTTACATACATGAGTGAAATTGACGATTAGACATTTGAATATAATGTACATTCAGAAATAATAATATGAGTGTCATCAATCAAATACAATCAGATGGGAAATAAGACGAATGTTTTTTTTATAGTCATAATAAGTAACTTGTTAGAATGTTATGATGTGCTTGAATTGAATTGAAATAGAATTTTAAGATTATTTTTTATCCTCCTCTGATTTGACTGACTGACTGGTGGTAATAATATCTTCCATATTTCTGGTATTTGCATTGAGTCATTTCTGTTGCATGTGTTGGGTGTAGACTCAATGAACCAGGATTCAGTAATCAATCTCTCTCTCTCCACCTACCTATATTACTTCTTAGAATCTTAACCCTCTCCCACCCCATTGTGTGGTTGTGTGTTAATCCATGCAGTGCAATTGCCGAGCTTTTTTCTAAATTACTTATCTTCGTGGGATCAATCATTCTTACCTTAGCTAAATTCTTATGTTCTGATAATCTGACTATCCCTGACCTACTAGTTTGACCTACATACTTGACCTCACTCACAGTCATTCCGAGTTGGTACAGAGTCAAAATTCTAAAGAGTAATCTATGTAGGTGGAGATAGAGAAAGATTGATTACTGAATCCTGGTTCACTGAGTCTACACCCAGCACAACACATGCAACAGAAATGACTCAATGCAAATACCAGAGATTTGGAAGATATTATCACCACCAGTCAGTCAGTCAAATCAGAGGAAGATAATAAATAATCTTAAAATTCTATTTCAATTCAATTCAAGCACATCACAACATTCTAACAAGTTACTTATTTATTTTGACTATAAAAACACTCGTCTTATTTCCCATCTGATTGTATTTGATTAATAACAGTCATCAGTTAATATTACTGCACCACACTGTGTGATTTGAGAGCATAATATTCAGCGAAGAGACTCTTTCCAACAACGAATTTATTATGAAGCTATACGATCGTATATATATTTCGTTTTTTTAAGAAATTATATCCGGTAAGGGAATTAGATCAAAGGTGTGAACACATGAAATAATAATAGAATGAAATGCAATTAAAATATTTGTGATTATAATCATAGTTTAATGTCAAGTGGCACAATAATTAATGTCATATATAGAATAACGCACATAAGGTGTGTAGATGTTGTTGGAAAGGGGTACATAATTATACGATTAGTAGACGAATATAAAATGTTACTTAACGTGGTGTGAAATTTGATATGATAGAATTAAATATTGTAAAAATAAAAAATAATAATTTTGGATTTAGAATGACAAGTGGAAATAATTCAGAGTGAGAATAATAATAATAATCGTAGTAATAAGGGAAAGGTACATAGAATAACTAAATAAACAAAATACATAAATAAATAAATGCCTTCCCTCTACGACCAAGGCAGAAGTAGGGATTGTACATACTTCTTTTGTACACAAAGTTCTAGCTGGCTTAAAGTCATGAATTGCCAAGGCCTCAGCTGTCTTTAGAAGTCTATAACGAAGAAAACGCCGCCAGCAAGTTAGCATGGATTCTATATATGATCTTAAAATCATGGTCAGGGTTGACAGAGTGACAGAAGTCGATCAGGTGTTCCATCAAAATAAAATCTTATCTAAAATGGAATAATAATTGTTATTATTGTCTGCGTATGTAGTTTGTTGTTCTAAGTTTGATAACTTGAACTGGTGCACATCTATGCAAAGTCATACATATATTGGTTCATCAGTCAATCAACCTCCAATCATTGATTTTATTTGCTGAGTAAACTTTCTGAAATAATCTTTATTGATTATTATGCATTTCTTGTGTTCCGAGTGGAACATAAGGATTCAACGATATCTTTCCATGATGCACTCAGTTCTCTGTGGTGAGAGCTGTCTGCTAGCCAAAATTGGTAGACAGCAATTTACGTCAATGTTTACATCCCAAATCTTAGTCATGAGAAAAAAACAAGAACAAAGACGAACTCAACAATCAATCACAACAGACTTAGCGTGGGCGGATAAGATTAGCAGAAATATCAACGGACTGCCTAAGAAACGGCAACAAAGAGATGACAGAATAACCTTCAGCGAGAAAACAACCAAACAGAAGACGTTGCTTCTCCGCTGACAATAATGTACATAAAAATCTATGTATATTTGTTGATTTTTTCAGTGAAAGATCTGTTTCCTGGCCCTTGTCTTCTGTCGTTGCAATTACATTCATCAACTGGCTTCACAAATTGTCCATAAACCACTGATTTTTTGTCTCTTGGTGGGATCTTCTCCACCATATTACCGTCGGAGGAGTAACTCATCGATGTCTGACAAGAATCCGTCGATTCCTATCCGAGTTCCACTCTGGAGCACCCCTAGCATGTAATGTCAGTTGAGGGTCTCCTCAGTGTACGTCCAATCCACTTCCTTTTGCATAATTGTTGGGTGGGTGGTAACAGGCTGTTGGTTGGTTGGCAGCGCCTCCATGACAAATTTCCTTTTTGGTTATCGTTTCTAAAAGACTATCTATCTAATCTTCAGTGTCGAGTGATGGAGACATTATATGGATCTAGCCCCTGCTTCAGCTTGGTTGAAAACAAGAGAAACAGCCATCCGGTTGGTGTTGAGTCCACTTCGATCTAGGTGTGTGAATGCTCTCCAACTATTCATGTCAATCAACCAGATATGTGAGAAGTATCGTGGATTATGTAATTGATACGTCTCAAATGAAAGTCAGATTGCTAATTTGTAATATCAGTTTTTGGTTTAAATCAATCCATACACTTCCTCCAAAGTACCAAAGGTTAAAAGTTATTTCCTCCTCACAGGATCTTCTGAATATCACCTTGGGAAACACGTCCAACTCTTCGTTTCCTATTCAGATTCCACTCGAGGGCCTATCTGGTGCTTGATGGTACTCCAGCCAATGTCCAATCCATCTCCATTTCCTCCTAAATATTTGTTGGGTATTAGGTTAATGACTGGTTGGCTGGCTGGCCGGCTTCCTGTCATAATTTCTTTGTTAGTTATCCCTTCACATCAGAAATCTGACCTTCAGTATTAAGTGAGGGTATCTGGGTCAGACCAGGCACACATCACACTGATGAGCGAGCCCGACTCGAAACGATCGAGATGACCGTCAACTTCGCTCTGTTTTATGTGATTGGTTTCCAACTACTCAAATAAATCAATGAGTAGTATATAGAATCATACGAAAATAACAGGAGTCTTATATATAATTGTCTTGTATCCCCCATATATTTTCTTTTATTACAGTTCCAAGTCATAGATCTACAGTCAGTTATAAATCAAACAGTGGAAGAAGATCAGCACGATCGGGAAATGAAACCAGGTTAGTGATTTGAAGAATTAAATTGCTAATTTGTGTATACATTTATGGATGGAAATTTCTCATAGTGATATTTTATGATATTTCTCCACATTATTACTATTATTATTATTATTTCCTTTAGTTCCTAGAGGAACATGGAGCTTCACTCTCACGTGTCCATTGCTTTCGGTTCTCTGCCAACGTTTTCATCACCTGGCTCCACGTCTTCCAACATGCTTTCATCTCTGATATAAGAATAAAACTTGGGCACTGTGGTAGAGTGTAATTCCATTATGGGTAAATTTTATTTTGATAGAGTCTCACAGTGTTATACAGTAATATTTACTGATATTACTGTATACTGTAAATATTACTGTACAACACTGTGAGACTCTATCAAAATAAAATTTACCCATAATGGAATGCTTTCATCTCCTCTTCGCACCGCCTCCTTCTCCGTATCACCCTCACACTGACGACCAACTGGCTAGCCGCTTCCCATTCTGGTTCCACTCGAGCCATGGCCTGGTGTATCATGTCACTCACTTGATGGTTTGTTTTCTCAGAGTATGGCCTCCGATCCACCTACCACTATTTCTTCCTGCATATTTGTTACACAATTGGTTCCTGCTGGGTTGGTTCGTTCATTGCCAGAGACCTCTCCCTGTTGCTGATCTTTCCTGACCGACCATCTGATCTTGAGTAGTATTGAGCGAAGAGAGCTGTTGATGAAGGTCTGTAGTTTGTCCGAAGTACTCTTCATGACGCACCAAAACTCTGATCCGTATAGTATCACTGACTTTCACATTGCAGTTGAAAATCCAGATTTTATTTTTCATGATCTCCACACAGACTTCAGAGTAATGAAAGCTTGTCTTGCTTTCCCGATCCTCGCTTTGATATCCTCGTCAGTTCCGTCTGCCTGTATTTGGAACGATGCTGCTTCTCAGTTAGGTAGGTAGGTAAAGGATGTGGCTCTACAACAGTTCGTTTAAGCCAGCCACATAGGAAGGTGAACACTTCCTGAGTGGTTGGGGTCCTCGGGACGGTAAACACCAAGGAAGCCTGGAGACAATTGGTGATATGGCTCGGAATCGTTCTCAATGACTGACTTATAATACCCAATAAAACTATATTGTTCTTCCAAATTACTATTCCTTCTGCTTCATGTCTCTGTTTACTGTCTCCATTTTGCATTTCTTTTCACATTCTTCTCTCGCTTTGTGTGCTAAATGGAGGGAGTGTGGCTACTCGAACTGCCGCACATCGGTGGAAAGTTCCATGTTGTAAACCAGTCAATCAGTCATCACGATTTTGGTTCTAGTGGGAAGTCGTGACCAGTAGGGTGCAACAGATTGAAGATGAGGCAGTAACTCATCGAAGAAGACATTGCGAAATGGTCGCGCAATGTCGTGAATTGGCAGAAGTTAGAATTCAAGGACCATTTGGACCGGATACCAGTGGCTCAATGGTCTGTGAGCTCGCTAGCCTTGTAACCAGAAGGTCCTGGGTTGGAACCCCTGTGGTGGGTGCGTACTGCTGAAGGATTAATCCCAAACTAGGCTGACGAAATAGCTGTCCAGTACTCCTAGATGGTTTTCCTATGGTTCTCTAACCGATGTCAGCTCATGATGAAATCCTGTAACCAATCAATCAAATCCTTACAAACCAATACTTGAATAACTGGAGACGTTTATTTTTGTGTGCATTTGTCTGTCCACTGATCCTTAGAATTTAAGCACTCCTGGACATAATGAGTGGATTCATATGCTCCATTGTGAATAATATTCAACCAGATGACTAAATGTCTGTCCATTCCTTGATTCTTAGCTTTTCGACAGTCTGGATCAGACAGTCTGTAATTTTCCATAGACAGACTGACTGACCGACTTTAAAAAATTCGAACTTTGCACAGAACTGCAGTGGTTCTAGATACCACATTACATGAAACACACTTGAAGGTAGAGAAAAGGGAAAATAGAATTCATAGGTTCGAATAAACTGACAAAGACTGATGCCAAATTTTTTCTTTGACTATCTCTAACTCTTTTTCAACCTAATGCTATGCCAGCTGACACTATTCGACGAGGAAGACGGTAGTCTGACATGCTTAACACCTGCCATATTGCCTATTACTTTATGCCTGATCTCACCGTATTAGACACATTGACGTGGGAGATAAGACACAAACATCTATGGGCAAAGACATCTAGCCTCTTCAAGTCTTCTGCGTTCACAATGGTTATGTCTGACAGACGTAAAGAGTGACGGTGCAAACTACCGCGCAGTACCTACACCCCTTGATCGATTAACTGGGTATGGCTACAGAGTTTAGATTTTCAACTCCAATAGTAACGTCAGTGCTACTATACGGATTAGAGATTTTGCAACATGCCGCGTCACGAAGGCCACTTCAAACAAACTACACACCTTCATGAACAGTTGTCTTCGCTTAATACTACTCAAGATCAGATGGCCGACCACAAAAGATCAGCAACAGGAAGGGATCTCTGGCAATGAACAAACCGACCCAGCAGGAACCGATTGTGCAACAAATATGCAGGAAGAAATGGAGGCAGGTGGATTGGATTGGCCATACTCTGAGAAAACAAACCATCAAGTGAGTGACATCACATACCAGGCCATCAGTCGAGTGGAACCGGAATGGGAATTGGCGAGTTAGTTGGTCGTCAATGTGAGGGCAACATGGATGAGAAGGGAGGAGGAGATGATGCGAAGCGAAGATGAGAGCATGTGGGCAGACGCGGGGCCAGGTGATGAAAACGTTGTTGGAGACTCGAACGCGAAGGAGACGTGTGGCTGAAGCCCTGCTTATGCTCCTCTAGGAACTAAAGCAGACAATAATAATAATATAACATGTAATTAATAATGGTAACCTGCATCCTACATTATCTTTAATTCTTTTAATGTTCTCAAACTGCTGATCTTTTTTTTATTAAACAAAAATATTTTTGAACTGCTTATTATTATTTACAGATCATATAGAAATTATGTACAGAATCAAGTCTACATACAAGAAAGCAAACTGGCTCAATTACGCGTTAATCGATTAAGAATGAAAATTTACGGTGAAGTAAGCAGTCCTTCCATTTAATTTAACTGGTTTCTTTGACTGAACACTAATCAGTAACTAGTGTGTAAAAAATGTGTCTAGTCTTTGTTGTCGGTGCAGACTGAATTCCATCAGTCAAGTTTGCAATGTGGTCACCATGTGTTAAGAGTGGCTCGCCATCACAGTGTAGTGTGAATTGTTGGTATTAGATGTTTGGAGGTAATTAGCCACAGGAAGCCTTACTGGGACCTAGGTTCCGTTCTATTTGGCGCTCACTAGTCAGTGAGGCAGGTGTATCTGCAATCACCTTGAAGGAATTCATATGTCCCTTCTGAGACTCGAACCCGCGTCACCCAGCGCTGCCTGTAGTCAGAGACGATGTTACCACTGAGTTATTTGGACTCGCGATTGACCTCCTGTAGGACTGTAGTGGATATTTTGATTTGGTACTAGTTACTAGTGTGATGCGTCTAGTCCTCTCTTTGGTGTAGACTGAATTCTATCATTCAGGTTGTAATGTGACCAGCATGCTGATGAGTGCCAGCTCTAGCACGAAACCTAGATGATGCAGGGCTTCCTGTGGCCGATCGCCTCAAACCATTTACAGTGCACCGTGATAGTGAGCCACCGCCTAGCATAGTGGTGACATTGCAAACTTGACTGATGGCATTTAGTCTACTTTGATTAGACCCTAGTAACTAGTGTGTGTGTGGTGTGTCTAGTCCTTTGTTTGGTGCAGACTGAGTGCTATCAGTCAGGTTTGCAATGTGGCCACCATGCCACTAGATAGCTCGCCATCATGGTCAGATACGCCTTGCTGACCGGTGGTGAGTGCCGACTAGCACGAAACCTAGGTCAAAGGCTTCCTGTGGCCGATTGCCTTCAACCATCTAATATCAACCAATCACAGTGCACCATGATGGCGGGTAACCCCTAACATGGTGTCGATATTGCAAACTTGACTGATAGAGTTCAGTCTACACCAAAGATAGGGCTAGACACATCACACTAGTTACTAGTGGTTAGGACACTCGCCGACCATGGATATGGTCCGGGGTTCGATCCCCGGCCACAGACGCACTCCTTTACCTCGCTAAGCTAGAACTAAAGCTAGTGAAGAGGCAAGGTTGGGGGCATCAGGCTAGCAACCCCATCCTGTAAAAATTAAACACTGCTACAGAAACTTCAACCCACTAGCTTGAAGCCCTATAATCCACTGGGGAACGTGAAGGAAAAAAACAATCAAAAATATCCCATACAATCCTATAGGAGGTCAATCGTAAAGCGGAATAGCTCAGTGATAATATCTCTGACTGTAGGCAGAACTGGATGACGCGGATTCGAATCTCAGTAGGGATCTGACTGCCTTCAAGGTCTTGTTGGCCGGTGATTGCTACTTCTTCAGTAAAGACCATAAATTCATGAATTTGTATTATTATTTCTCCTAATTTCTCTGATTATCAGTATTTAGTGTTATGTTGATGCTGTCGAACTGTTATTTAAACAAGGACATTAATGTTGTTCATAACACTAATTCATTCAACTGTAGAAGAACCTGATGATGAAGAGCAGGTTATCGCAAGAGAAATATTCTTTGATCAGTAGCCATTCTTTTGAGAGAAAAAAATGTTAATGGCCATTTTCAATCGGTTAAAGTCAATACATTTCAATAAAATGTATCTTATCAAATTTCTCATCATATAGATCAAGCAATAAGAAGATGTAATTTGTCTGAATCGTGTAATGTTGTATTTGCACAACACATTTCGAACAATCTGATCACACACGGACTTGTCATAGGAATAGATATATATGAAATTAATAAAGAGTTAAGAAGTGAGAAAATAGACTAATTAGATCAAGTTAAAAGGACATATTCAAGATCAAAATAACAATGAAGACCACTAAACCAAATAGCAGAGGTAACAGTAAATCTGCTATGGTATCAAAACAAAATTTACCGAGGAAGCTTAATGTGATGACGAATTGTTGCTTTGAACGCATAAACTTTCTAATTGCTAGGGCTTCCACAAACTTTAGGATACGCCCCAAACACGTTTTATAGATAGGTTTAAAAGATCTGTTAACGTCAATTTTATGTCCTGTCTCTATAATATGTTTCGCAATAGAGGAACTAGGTCTCCTTTTCTCACCGTCAATAGGTTCTGAAGATTCCATTTCTTTCTGAAGCCATTTAGGAATATGCTGTGAAGCCCTTACTTGCAGAGATCGATGAGTGCTCCCTATGTATGTGTGTCCACACGTACATTCAAATTCGTAAATACAGTGGGATGTGACGTCATTTTTCGCATGTTTAAAGGGCTTAGATAGATATACTGGCTTCACATTCTCAATTATTATGATATTAGCTGCATAAAAATTCTTTTTAACAGCAGCGTTCAATCTTTGTCTAGTTATCAAGCTGCTATGATCCCACATATAAAGTAGCTTGATGTACACAACTTTCTTAGTGGCGAGTTGTAGAGTGGGTCTTGGTGTTCTGACTACTTTATATCTCCTGATGAACTTGTCTGGATAATTATTATCAACCAGAATTTGTGTCAATTTTCTTTCTTCTTCCTCAAGTGCACTTTCAGTGCATATTCGTTAGATTCTACTGAAGCGGCACCTAGCTGACTAAGGCTCTTTTGCACCGAACAGGGCAGAAACTGTGGAAATTAGGATACTGGCCTGTCCATGTAGGTTTTCTATAAATAGATCTTTTTATTAACCCATTAAGCCGTCGACTAAGCAATATGTCTAGGAAAGATAAACAACAATCTTCCTCCTCTATAGATGTAAATGATATGCTATTCTGAACTTCATTCATTCGACTTAAAATTGAGGTGGCAGAACAAGACTTATCACTGATGATTACAATATCATCTACATACCTCTATAAAGTGGTACAATTTCGATTAAACCCTCCGATAATTTCTCAATGTGCGACATATAAATATCTGCTAAAAGGGGCCCTAACGGACTTCCCATAGCAACACCATCAACTTGGCGGAAACAATCACCTTCAAATGCAAACCTAACATTGTTAGTACATAGAAGTAATAAATCCCTTAAATAAGGTATATAGGGAACGGGATGAAAAAATTGTTTGTGGAAATATAATCACACAAAATGTCAACTGTTTTGAGCAAAGGCACATTAGTGAATAACGAGTTTACATCAAAAGAGTACATATTCTTATTCATAATATTAATATTACTATTGTCAAGAAAATCAACCAATTCCAATGGATCTTTTAACACATACTTACAGAATTGTGTTTCGACTGGATGCAATAATTCTACTAACCATTTAGCAAGTTTATGTGTTGGGGATTTGCACATTGACAATATAGGACGTAGAGGATTATTGGGTTTATGTTTTTTTTGGCAAACCATACATATGCGGGAATTTCCAATATGATGATTTAATGAGTCAAATTTATCTTTACTTATAGCATTTAGGCCATGAAGCTTCACTAGATTAGCTGTCACTGTGCCCTGCAACAACTGAATATCTTCTGAGGAGGGATCACGGCTAAATTTGCTTTTATTATTAAGAATAGACATCATTTTAGATTTGTAGTCACTTTCATTCATAATGACGACTCCAGAACCTTTATCAGGTTTCATAATAATTATATTAGAATTTTCCCGTAGCTCTTTCAAGGCTTTGAAATGCTGGGGATTTAAAATACTTTTCTCCTTTGGGTTGTTGTTTAAAAACTGATGAGCTATATCCACCATCTTGGCCTTAAACCAACCCCGATCTCCATCGGATGTTGCGGCAAGAGGTTTGAGTTGGTCATATAAGTTTTGAAACTCAGCATGTATGGCTAAATCCGTAAATTGCGTGCGAAGAACACAAAATTTGAGTCCTGTTACCTCTTTATTAATTTCATATATAAACCTATGACAAGTCCGTGGAGTGTGATCAGATTGTTCGAAATGTGTTGCGCAAATACATCACACACACGATTCAGACAAATCATGTCTTCTTATTGCTTCATCTAAATTCATAAATGGAACTAATTGTTTTAAATTCTCATCAAATGTTAAGTGGTGTTTTTTAAGTACCTAATAATTCTACTAATTGTAAATAATATCACTTTCCAAAATCTCTACCGTCCTATTAAATATTTTATATATGACGTAATTTGTTTTATCGCCTGATATTGAACCAACAATGACTATAATCATAAACATTTTAATAACATTTCACATTACCTATCTTAAGTATACAACAACTTTGTTTAAATTTTCTCACGGGATATAGTTACTTATAAATCATTCGACAGTCGGCAGAAAGTACAAACACGAGAAAACCAGGCAGGTTTTAGGCCAGAAAGAGGGTGTATTGATCATATCTTCATATCATATCCGACAGATTTTAGAACATCGGCATTCCTACCGGCGTCCAACAATCATTATATTTCTTGACCTAAAGGCGGAATTCGATTCTGTCGACTGAGAGGCACTAAGGCGATGGTTGGCTGTAAAGGGAATGCCGAGAAAATACATTGCTCTGATTAAGGCACTCTAATCGTACTCATGCAGCCAGGTGAGGGCTTATGGCGAGTTGTCATCTGAAGTGGTGACGACTAGTGGCGTCTGTCAAGGATGCCCATTATCCCAGTTTCTATTCAACTTCATCGTAGATGTACTAATGGACTTAACCCTAACACACTTCAGCGCCTCAGGGATTGACTTACTACCAGGGAATAATCTCGTTGACTTAGAATATGCACACGATATAGTCCTTCTAGGTGAAGACGCTGACAAAATGCAGAGTCTACTGAACACCTTGAGCAGCAATCTACTGCAATCGACCAAAGGGCGTATGTACTGCTTGGCAGTCCGCTCCGTCCGCCTTTATGGCTGTCGGCGAGACCTGGCCATTGAGAGCAGAAGACAAGAAAAGATTAGTTGTCTTTGATCATAGGTGCCTGCGTTCTATCTCCCGTGTGAAGTGGTATAATAAGGTGAGCAATATTGAGGTTAGGCGTCGAGTGCTAGGTCGACGAGACTGTGAAATTACATCGACTGAGATGGTTAGGACATGTGCTACGCATGCATGGCTAGTCATCGCCTTCCTCGACGGGCCATGTTAGCTGATATAAGGCCAGGCTGGAAAAGAGCTAGCGGCGGTCAAACGAAAACATGATCTCATCAGTCAATGAAATCCACAACAGTTAGTCTAAGCCACGTACGAAGGTGTAGACTTCCTGACTGGTTGGGGTCCTCGGGACGGTAAAAACCAATGGTTGGAAACAATTGGTGACATGGCTCAAAATCGTTCTCAATGGCTAGCGCAGATGCATCCACTCCTTGTGACTTATGATTTCGAATGAAACTGTTTTGTTCTTCGTTATTACTATTCCTTTGCCTCACACGTCTGTTTACTGTCTCTAATATGCATTTCTCCTACTTTCTTCTCTTGCTTTGTGTGCAATATGGAGGGAGTGTGGCGACTTGAACTGCCGCACATATGTGCAAAGTTCTATGTCGAAAACAGACAGGCAGAAGGAAGCACTGCTCATGACCTAGATTTCATGCTTGTGTTGGCACTCATCAGCCAGCAAGGCAGGTGTATCTGCAACCAACTTGAAGGCAGTCATATCCCTTCTGAGATTCAAACCCACATCACCATGTGGCGCCTGCAGTCAGAGACGTTACCATTGAGCATGAATTCCTTCAAGGTTGCAAACATGCCTGCCTTGCTGACTGGTGAGTGCCCACTAGCACGAAACCTAGGTTAAACGGCGCTTCATGTCGACTGCCTCCAACCATCCAATACCAACAATTAATAATGATTTCTTCAGGCTGTAAGCAGCTGATGAAAAGCCAAGAAAATAAACAATGATGGTGCCATCTTTATTCCTCACAAACCGCTGTATTTTTTGCTTTATTTATTGATTAACTAACTCCTCAGTTAACATATTCATCAGACATATATATATATATATGTATTTCCTCTGACTATTTTCTTTCTTTTGTTATGCTTTACTGTGTTTTTCAACTAACTTTTTCAGAAAATTCTACGTTCTGTACTTCAAAGACGCGGTCCATGGTCGATGACATTCAAAGAGATTTAAAAAAAAATAATGTACACTGATATATGTGTGAATAACTTTCAAGGCTTTACATTTATTGATCCCTGTGTTTTTTCTTATTCAACGGGTGGCCGGGGGGTGGTCGTGTGGATAGTGCCCCATGAGATGATGGCTTAATAAGTCATCTGCTAAATACCGGTGTCAGACTTTCTTCCAATATTAGTGTGTGTGTGTGTGTGTATGGATGTGAGTGCCTGCTTGCCTGTGAATTACTCTGTGTATTCGCTTTTGTTTTCTAAACTTTCTTCCCTGTGTTCGTGTTCTCCAACACCACCACCACCTCCGCCTCGTCGTCGTTGTCATCCTCACAGCTATTATCCTCCTGACTTTGCCATGCTTTAATGCACACACACACACACAAACACTCCGGGAAACACCTTTTCGCTTTCAGTTGTGTCATCCAATAACCAGTAAAGTGTGAAATTTGCCATTGCAATATATTTTGCAGTATATTTCTGCCTTTATTATTATTATCATTATCATTACTATTATTATTATTACGATTGTCATTATTACTATATTGTGAGTATAATTCCAGTCTTTTATAATAAGAGAGTGGGTGCGTGGAGGGAGGGGTGAAAGAAAAGTAATCTGTCAACTACATATACATTTGAACAAAGCAAGAACTACAGTTTTAGCAGAATAAAATGGTACCATCTTTTCCACATTAGTTTGTTTATTAGATGTATCACACAGTAAAACAGTATTATTTACTGGATGACACAGTTTCGAACAAAATTTATTGTTCATAATCATATCATCAGTTATAATCACACGACTTCGAAACTTCAGTTTTATGGTTTTCTTTGTTCTCTCCTATTTGTCGCGGTTGAGGTAGTAGAATTTTCCAGATATCTGGGTGGAAAGGTGTTGAATCATTCCTATTACATGTATTTGTAGTTGATTCGATAAACAAAGCTTCTGTTATCAATCTCTCCCTCCACCATGCTAGTTGCATTCGATTTTAAAACTGGCATCTCACTCCATCCTATTGTATGGTTGTGTGTGACTGCATGTAGTGCTATAGCTGAACTATTCTCTAGATTTCTTATTTTATTCGGGTCAACCAATCTAGATTTTGCTAAGTTTTTATGTTCAGCTAGTCTGACTGCCCCTGTTCTACTAGTTTGACCTATGTATTTGACCTGACAATCATTGCAGGGTATTAGATAAACTAAATTGTTTTGTTTTAAAGGCTCTATAGGATCCTTTAACCGACAAAGCTTGTTTCTAATTGAGTTTGTGGGTTTATTTCGTTTTATTTCGTTACCTTCTCGGCAGCTGCTTACAGGGCAAAGACATTATTAAATGCATCTACAAAAACAATTCTAACATACTTGCACAGAGTTCATTTTAAACAAAAATCAATCGATCAATATACGCATACACTTATAATATATACATATATATAGGCAATATTAAACACTATTCCGAACAATAATAATCATACACAATGAGAACTTTTCAGCATCTCGCATTCGGATGAAAAATATCTAGTTACCAGGCAGGGCAAAGAAAGACTGATAACCGCTTCTTTCTGAACGCATAAATCAGGTTTCAGTCGCTTGATGGAAATGGCTTCAGTAAACTTGAGGAGAATTGAGCTCTTTTGCTTATTGATAATTTTGAACGACTTTTCGACATCCACCTCATGACTGATCCGTGTCAAGGAGATGCCTGGCTATGGCACTGTCTAAGGCATTTGTTCCCTTTAAACGTAAGCTTTTTGGTACATGTTCAGAAAATCGTAGATATGCCCTTCTTTCTTTCCTTCCAATGTAACTGCTCCCACACTCGGTTGGAGTTAACATGAGAAGGATATCTATCGATTTTTGATTGCATCAAAGAGCAAGTTGTTCGATAGATGGGGACGAGCTTAGCTGCAGGATAGGCTCTGGCTAATGATGTGCTCAGCCTTCTGTTGATCATCGCTGCAGTGTTTTCGCCTTTATAATCAAGCTGAAAGTAGATTGGCTCTTTTCCCCACTGTGATTTGTTTTGCTAAGATGCTTCCTTTTACTGGTTCACTAGTTTCAATGAGTGCATGAATGGTGAACAAACAGACGACTGCACACTCACTGCTTTGGGAGGTTGGTTGCCTGTCTGTCTGTCCATCTATCTATCCAGCTGCCTGCCTGTTTCCTCAACGATCACGATATTGCTTATATATTACAAATGATAGAAGCCTAAAGTGACAAGAATCTGCTTAGATTTAGGATTTCCAACTTAAACAACACTTCCAGCTGTAGTTTTAAGCGTCATCATCATCCTTTTTTGTTACCCCGATGGTTCACCTCTGGCGTAGATTGACAGAGGTACTAACTTGCCTGCTTCTTTTTGCGTGTGTTTATTCCATGGTTGGATTGTGAATACGAAGCGGTTGACTGAATGGCGAAATCAATGTGGGGTTCACTTGTCTTTTTGACTTTTGGAACCATTGAAAGCCAGCACTGGACAACTGTTCCCTCAGCCTATTTTGGGGCTCGTCAACAGTATGCACCTACCACAGGAGGTTTGACCCTGGGACCTTTGGGTTATAAGGCAAGCTCTTAGACCATTCAGCCACTGGGACCACCCGCCCGACTCAGTGCACAGCCCATGAATTCTAACTTGTACGGATTCGTGGTTTTCGCGTTAATGGCATTGGCGGGAACTCCATGTTCCCTCCCGACTGGGTAAACGTCATTGGTGATGACTTCTCACTAGAAATACAGGAAACTCCGTCCCATAGCCAGTCAATAGCGAGCATCAGATTAATTTTTAAGAGTTAAATTGTAAGGACTAGGTTTGGTTTTAAAGTTTGATTCCCAAACTCGGTTGACGAAACATCTGTCCAGTTCTCTAATGTTGGGTTTCAATGGTTCTCTAACTGATATGAATCCGTGAGATGTTATGGAAGGCCGAAAATACACAAAATACATATATATGTTCCTATTAAGACCAATAATTGATTTCACCATTTCGGTGACATGCATTCATTTTATCAAACCACATATCACGAATACTGAAAACAACTTCAATACAATATTTCTTTGAACATTAAAAAGAAACACTGTGTAGTTTTGTGGTGAGAGCTGGCTGCTAGCCGAATCGATAGATAATAATTTGCGTCAATATTTGCGTCCCCAAAATTGGTCATGAGAAAAATAAGAACAAAGACTTACTCAACAACCAATCACAGCAGACTTTGCGTAGGCGGATACAATTTACAGACAGATAATCTGAACTTCAAGAAACGGCCACAAAGAGATGAAAGATTAACGTTCAGAGAGAGAGAGAGAAACGACCAATCAGAAGACTATGTTTGTTTGCTTACAATAATCTATAATAATGTACATGAAAATCTATAAATATCTGTTGATTTTAGGGAATAAAAAGACAGTTGCAGCGAAGAAAATTTTCTTTTCGACGATGATGACTTCGTCGAAAAGAAAATTTTATACATTCACGTCACTACTGGAGAAGGTGTGGAAAGAAGGCAAAGTACCCGAGGATTGGAAGAAAGGATACTTATTCAAACTACCAAAGAAAAGAGACTTAAGTCCATGCAAGAACTGGCGCGGAATTATGCTCCTGTCCATCCCAAGCAAAATACTAAGCCGCATCATCCTGGAGAGAATCAAACATGCCCTGGATGAAAAACTTCGACCGGAACAGGCTGGATTCAGGAGAAACAAGTCATGTATTGATCAGATCGCCACATTACGGATCATCATTGAACAAAGCCTGGAATGGCAGTCAGCTCTCTATCTCAACTTCATCGACTTTGAAAAGCATCGTTTCAACTACAGGCGGACGGAACTGATGAGGATATCAAAGCAGTGAGGATCGGGGAAGCAAGGCAAGCTTTCATTTCTCTCAAGTCTGTATGGAGATCAACAGCGCTACGCAGAATGAAAAATAAGATCCGGATTTTTAACTTCAGTGCGAAGTCAGTACTACTTAATATAAGGATGAGAGACTTGGCGCCGCGTCACGAAGGGCACTTCGAACAAACTACAGACCTTCATTAACAGTTGTCTTCGCTCAATACTACTCAAGATCAGATGGCTGGTCAGAAAAGATCAGCAACAGGAAGGGATCTCTGGCAATGAGCGAACCAACCCAGCAGGAACCGATTGTGAAACAAATAGGCAGGAAGAAATGGAGATGAATTGGCTGGTCATACTCTGAGAAAACAAACCATCAAGTGACATCACTAGACAAGCCCTCGCTCGAGTGGAACCCGGCCGAAAGGGAAGCGGCGAGTTGGTGGTCAGTGCGAGGGTGACTTGGAGGAGGTCATGTGAAGAGGAGATGGAAACGTGTGGGCAGACATGGAGCCAGGTGAAGACTCTAGCAGAGAACAGAACGCAATGGAGACGTATGGCTGAAGCCCTATGTTCCTCTAGGAATTAAAGGATACAATAATAATAATAAATACATTCACTTCTGTGGATAAACTCGAACAACAAAGCAAAGAAGGCATTTGTAAAATTATATTTGTAAAATCTCAGCGAAATTGAAATGATTAATTCCAACGTTTCGTTCGGCAAAGAAACATCCGATGAAATAAAGCGAATCCTTAACAACCATAACATAAGAGTGTATTTGCATGCATCAAACACCTTACGCTGATAACTGGTATAGGTTAAGGATAAAATAGAACAAGAAAACCAGCAGAATTGCGTATACCAGATCAATTGTGGGGATTGTAACGCCGTATATGTAGGAGAAACTTCCAGACAGGTAAATGTAAGAGTGAAAGAGCGTAAACAATGTCTAAAGGTAGTTCCAAAGACCTCTGCAGACTTGAAGAAGCTAGAAAACAACTCAGCGATTGCACTGAATTCGATAGAAACGGGACACAAAATCGACTTTGATAAGACTAAGGTTTTACAGAAAGGTTTTGGTTCATATAAAGAAAGACTGACTGCAGAAGCCCTACATATATGGGTGAATCCCAACAGTTTGAACAGACGTGAAGGTGTGATCTTAGCTGATGCATGGCAAATCCTGACTAATAAATAAATTGGATATGTATCAACAACTAGTCACACTTGGTCAAATTCCCGATTGTCTACGTCTTCTTATGGAGAGAATAACAAATTTATAAAATTATATTTGTGAAAAATCTCAATTATTTT